TGTCAGAGCAGCCCAGAGCCCCTTAGCTGGATGCAAACAGACCTGGTCACACCAGCCACCTCAGAGCCTCTGCCCTTCTGGCTCTACTCTGGAGGAACCCTGACTCTCATGTGACAAGCAGCTGGTATAGACTGTGGACCCCAGCCCTGGGGTGCTGGGCACAGGTTGGCAGATAGGACTAGGTGGTTGGTGAGGTGCAGTCCTAACCCGAGATGGGTATACACTATGGAGGGCAGGAGTCCAGCTGCAGGCCGACCCTAGCCCTAGGTGCCACTAGCTCTGGTCAGCAAGGAGGCCACACAGTACACTCCCAGTGGTCCCTGCCACACCCCCACCTCTCACCCTCACATTCCCCATGTGGCTGGATTTCCTATCGCTGTCCTGACCAGAGAAGGTCACAGTGTGGCCTGGTGCAGCCTGGTGTGGCCTTCTGAGCCTGGCTTATCCGAGGGGACCACCTCTGTACTCCAAGAGGTTTCAAGCCATGGAAAATGATGGCCCCATGCCCAGGGGACCCATCCTTTGCCCTGCTGTGATCAACATACCCAACTGACTGCCAACCTGCCTGCCCAGCCCCCAGAGGGTCACCACTTACACTGGCTCCTCGGCATTTCCACTGTGCCGCTCCCAGCACCCTATCCCCACCCACGAGGGTTTGCCGGCCAGCTTTCCCAGTCCTTCCCCACCACTCGCCTTTTACTGGGACCTGTCTCAGGCACCAGCTTCTTGAGACTCCTTTGGGCCAACCCCAATCCTGGCCCTGACACACTTGCTGAAGGAGCAGGCTCAGCTCTGGGTGTGGTCTCATGGGTGCCTCCACATCTGGGAGCTGTTTCCCATCTGTGTGGCTGGCTGTGGACAGGTCTGGGTCTGCAGTGGACAGTTCTCACCCTCACCTGGCAGCCAGAGCCCACAGAGGAGGGTGAAGGAACCCTGGATAATAAGGCCAAGGCCAAAGCCACGCCAGCACAGTGCCCTACAGGTATCTGATGGGGAACTGCTAGGCAAGCTGCTGGCTACCAGGAGGTGACACGTTTGCCTCTGACATCAGAGGGGAATCAAACATCGGTGGGGTGGGCAGCAGCCAGCACCAAAAAGCCCAGCCCAGCACACCAGAACAGCAGGAAGTGCTGGCTTCCTGTATCCTCATCCCTCCAATGGGCACTTGCAGGCTCAGTGTTCGGCTACTGCAGGACCAGAGGGGTGGGCACTCAGGCCACCATGCCCACTGCCCATGGGTTAGGTTGGGAGCATGGAGGAAGCCTACAGTTCAGCTGGGGGCAGCAGCCTCCCGTAGGGTTCACCCAGCATAGCCAGACCCACACAGCCCTCTAGGCTCTCAGACCAGTCCTGACTTCAGCCTCTCCTTTGGCTGGGGGCAGCAAAGGGAGGGGCTGGGCCTCAGCGGATCCTTGCACCTAGCTCAGGACAATGGGCAGGGCCCCAAAGGCAGCCCAGAGTATGGGGCCACAGGCTGTCTAATGCTACGGAACAGTGTCATGAGATTACGACACCCTTCTGACCAGACAGGGGGAACTCCACAAAATGGAGCTGCCAGTCCACCCAGGATAAAGGGCAGGAACGCCCTGCCCAAGATGCAGATATGGCCCCTGGGAGGCAGATACAGCCCTCTCCCAGGATGCTCTCTGGTCTTGACAATCCCATGAGTTGGACCCGATCGAACCCCGTTGCACAAGAGAGGCACTGGGGCCCAAACACAGGCTGTTGCCCAGGCCTAGAACACAGCAGCCTCAGGAAGCTGACTCAGCCCTGCCATCAGGAGCACATCCCTCGCCTTGGCCAGCACCTCGCCAGCCTGGCAGGCCCGGGCCACTGCCTCCCTCCCTGGCTGTACCCACCCTTGTCCCACCCTGCAAAAGTGCAGCAGGCCTAGTAAACATCTGATTCAAGAGGAAGCATAAGGCACTGCTAGGAACTGGATTAGGCTGCAGGGAATTCAGGTGTGGATGACAGGAGGTGCTCACCGGCTTCTCCAGGCTACTGTCTCTGGTGGCCAAGCCCTACCTTCCCAGAGGGTAACTGACCAGGATCATCAGACAGAACAGGAGTAGCCGTGGCTGCCCACGTAAGACTTGGCCAGTGATCCAGCTGGGGCAGGGAGGTCCAGTGGGGCAGGGGACTGCTCCAGTGGCCTTGGAGCTAGGACCCCAGGAGTCTCAGCATGTGGGGAGGAGGAGGAAGGTGGGGGAGCCAACTGGGCACCCGGTGCCCCCGCTCACCCCAGGAGCACTGCCACCTCAAGCGCCATGCATCTCCTCTCCTCCCATCCAGCCATTCCTGAGCTGCTGTCTCTCTCATCCTATGCCCTGGGGCTTATGGGATTTGGGCGGACTGGCCCTGATCAGCCGGCTTTACGGAATGGAAAGTAAGGGTCAAGATGTGTCATCCCTGGGCCCTGGATGTGTTAGTCTCTGTACTTCCTGTCTGCCCTTGACACTGGTGGGACAGTCCCCAGGCCTGGATGCCCAGACAGGGCCACAGGGAAGCCAAAGGCTTTTGGGGAAGGGCCCCATCCTGGGAGGACTCCAGGTCCTCCTCTAAGACAGCCACAGGCCACTCTGATCACTTTGAGTATCACTCTGCCCCTCCTTCTCCTATCCACAAACCTCGATGCCTTGTCCAGGAAGCCCAGTACCAGCCAAGCCACAAGGAATTATCAGAGAGTCATTGGCTGGCCAGCCAGAGAGAGGCAGGCAGGGGTTGCTGTGGTCACTAACCTGTGGGGTCCCCACAATAGACCTTTGAGGACAGAATCTAGGAGGTACCAGAGTGTCCCCATCACTGGCCACTCCTGATGGGCTTGGACCTTTGCCTGTGGGACACAGGTGAGAACTGGGAGTTATGGCCTTTGCCCCAGGCCTCTGTAGGCTGGCCCTGCCCCTCCACATGGCCAAGCAGAGTTGGCTCCTGCAAAGCCCAGCCAGCACACAGCAGCCCTGAGGGCCACAAAAAGCTACCAGTAGCCCCAGGTCATTCAAAGCCACCTGGAGGAGGAAAGTGGTTTGCAGTTCACTTTGTACAGAGGAGAACCCCAGCCTGACCCCTACTCTTCCTGCCACCCCTCTGTTCCCAGGGGTGGCCATGTTGTCCTTCTGGGCCCCTGGGCCAGCCTGGATGGGCTCAGCTGGTATCATCTGCTGTCACAGTAATGGTGAGGAATGTGTATTTGTGCCCATAAGAGAGGTGGGGGTGCCATAGCTGACTCAGCACCCCACTTCCTCTGTCCACGTGAACAGAAAAAGCCAAGGCAGCCTGGAACCCTCCTCCTCCTTCTCACTCAGGCCCACGTCCTTGGGAGACCCCTCCTCATCCCTGTAGGTCAAGACCCAGAGCCCAGGGCCTTGTTAGCACCCCTCTTGCTAAATGGCCCTGGACAGGGCCATCAACCTGTCCACCTGGTCACCCCTTGCCAGGGTACATCCCAGATGGGATCCAGGGCCAGAAACAGTGAGGGGGTAGTGAAGGAAACCCCTCTGTCCCTGGCCCTGCTGGGTGTCAGCAAAGGTGGGGAGCCCAGCCTCTGCTTGGTCCTGTGGGCCAGTGCTGCTAGGACAGGGCTGTTGGCATGGAGCTGGGACCAAGCTGACCAGAACCCAGGTCCTGCTGGAGGTAATCCCTCAGGCTGAGAGAACAGCTACCTACTTCCTCACCATTACTGTGACAGCAGATGACACCAGCTGAGCCTATCCAGGCTGGCCTCGCTGAGCATGTTGCCCATCAGATAACCCAGTCTTCCCTCTAGAGCACTCTCTCCAGGACAGGGCCACTCCAGGAGGTGGTTGAGGGGTGAGCCAACTGAGGAGTGAGGAGTGTGGGGTTGTCAGGGTCCAGCAAAGTGGCCAAGGCTGCTCAGGCTCAGCCCCAGAGCAGCAGGAAGGCTGGGCTACAAGGCCAGGGACCCTCGTGATCCCCACCCCAACTCTCCTGGCCCCTCCACCTACTCTGAGACGCCTCAGACCCTCGGGCTATCTGTCATTCACTCACACTCCAGTGTGAGTCAGCACCAACAGGTGCGTCAGAAAGTTGGTACCACGGGAACGGCTGGGAGCAGCTTCCTGTCTGGACGCCGCTGGGTGGATCACGTCACGGGACGGCAGCGGTAGCTGCCCGACGGTCGGCGGGGCGAGGGACGAAGGACAAGGAACAGAGCCAGGTGCCCGGGACGTGGCCACTGCGCCACCTGCCCCCCAGCAGCCCAACGGCGGAGACTAGGAGACACGGAACGGCGGGCGCCGCACCTTACCTGCCACTCTGTGCTCGGGCCCGCGGGCCCGATCCCCGCCTCGGCTCCAACCTCTGCGGCCCAAGTCTTCTCCCGCCCGCAGCCAGCTCCGCCCCGCCCCGCCCCACTTTACAGCTGCTCGTCCCGCCTACAAAGGCCCGCCCCCGCCCGAGCTCCCGCCCCTGGGCTCCCACCCCGGCTGGCTTCGCTCTGAGCTCCCCTACCCCACCCTACAGCTCAGCTGGCGGTCTCCCGCCGTGCGAGGTCGGCCCGCGGGACGCCGAACCTTGCGGTCCGGGAGCCCCCACGCCTCTGCCCGCTCCGGGAGAAGGCAGGCGGGCGCTGGCCGTCGGATTTCCTTACGGTTTGCGCCCGCACAGTAGTGGGTGCTCACTAAACACGGGCCTCGGGACCCGCGCTGTGATTCCATCCCTCCCTCGGGTCTCAGGCGCCAGGACCACCACCAAAAACGTACAAGCCCCTTCCAGGTCCGTGCCCTTGTGGCAGCTCCTTCAGGGCACTATCCACAGGGTCCTGTCTCAGCGTTAGCCCCCACCTCCTCCATCCGGTCCAAGCTTCTTTACCACTTTGTTCGACAAGCCCTTGGCTTGCTGCGCATGTTTGGGCAGGCCTGTGGTCCCAGCACTCTCAGAGGCCGAGGCAGGAAGATCACAAGTTCAAGCCCAGTCTGGGCAATCTAGCGATTTACTGAGACCCTGTTTCAAAATTAAATAAAAGGCAGGTAATCTGCTCAGCGTGAAGGCTCTGTGTTCAATCCCCAGTACCACAAAAAAACCAAACATTCTTTATTTCTCTTTTTAAAAGTATTCACACAGCCAGGGATTTGGCTCAGTGGTGTAAGTGCCTGCCTGGCAAGTACAAAGTCATGAGTTTGATCCCTGGTACAAATAAAATAAAATAAAAGTGTTTACCTTCCTGTTCCCTCCTCCCTTGTCCTCCTCTGATCCTGCCATGGCCACAAGGCACAGCTGCCCATCCGCCTCCATGTCCAGCAGAGGCCCCAGGATGGGATCAAATAGCCCAATTCCAGGCTGCCTGTTGGGCCTCCCCAAGTGCTGCTTACTGGCCTTGGTGGGGCTGGTTCTACCCCAGAGCACAACAGTGGACCCATGGGGTCCCAGCCCACAGTACAAGGGAGGGAGCAGGGGGCAGTGTCCAAGGATGGAAAGAGGTCTGGGGAGGCACACACCTGGCAGGGAGGCTAGGGCTTCCACTCCTCCACTGCTCCTGGGGAGGCTACATGAGAGGGCTCCAGGGACAGCTGTGTGCCAGGCTAGAGATGGGAACACAAGGCCAGGCTCAGGCTCAGCCACCCCAACTGCAGCTCCTCTGTCCCCAAGCCCTAGCCTGTGGTCCTGTTGCTGTCCTGCACACAGCTCTGCAGGTGGCCCTAGCCTGAAGATCTGTCTCAGTCTGGCCTCTGTCACTTTGAGGGGTCAGAGGGCCGAATAGGATTCCCAGGGATGGAGAGCCAAGCTGGGCCCAGATGCCTAGACATAGTCTGGAGGCAAGGAAGGGCTTGTGCCAGGTCCCCACCTGAATGGCCTCAGCTTTGCCCTCTTTGGCTCCATTTCTCACCTAGTGTGACAATGTCAGGCCCCACTGGGAAGTCCTGTCCCACCGGCCCTGGGTGGAGGAACTCACCCACGCATGCCCCATTTCTATTTATACCCAAGCCCCCGCTCTTGCTCCACAGGGCCTGATTTAGAACTCAAAAGCACTCTGTCCTGGTCTGGGTCCCACATCTGGCCCATGGGGAGAGAGATGGGTGTTTGTACACACAGAGGCCACCATGCCCGCTGTGTCTCCTGGCACCCAGCCTGCCACCCTCAGAACTGCCAGGTGGCATGGGGTCTGCAAGGGGAAGCTGAGGCCTATGACAGGTGTGACTTAGGTGGTGAGCACTGTGATATCAGAGACCTAGGGGGCTGTCGGAAACTGAGGGGAGTCCTGCCCCTTTTCCAGGAGGTAGGCTCCTTACAGTCGGTTTCTGTTTTCCATCCCAAGTGAGAGACTCCTAAAGTTCTCAAGGCTTCCTGCAAAATTTGGGGCTGCCCCCGCCATTGTCTCCAGAAGCCACACTTAGCTCAGCCCTGTTCTGGTTTCACTTCCATATCCAGAAATAACACTCGATGCTGCTTCCTGACCTCTGCTGCTGGTGTCACCATTGTCACTGTCACTGTGTGCCTCAGACCCATAAGCAGGGCTTGACCCTGTGTCTTCAGGTGAATTCTCTTTACACCTTAACCACACAACCTAACAGTAACTCTTCCTTTCCTGCTCACCCTCTTGTTCCCCTGAGTCAATAAATGTCACTTTTGTTTTTAGTTTACTTTTTCCTTTTTTTTTTTTTTTTTTTTTTTTTGAGACAGTCTCCATATGTGCCCCAGGCTGGCCTTGAGTTCACTGTGTAGCCCGTGCTGGCTGTAACCCTGGTCAGTGCTGAGTTTTGTCATCAGCATTCTAACCTGCAGGAACATTTTCCCTACCCTGGACACCCAGGTGCCACCCAGGTCACCTGTGGTGCCTTCAGAGGCTGAGCAGAAGGCCCTGCTGGGTCTGCAAAGCAGTGGGGCTTCGGAGGAGGGAAATGGCTCTGAGGAGGAGCGAGAGGCATTAAGGTCCATGATCTGCCGTCCCCATATTGCCCTAGCACTGTGAGGCTCAGGTCTCTGTGTCACCTCCTGCTCTGGGCATGTCACCCGTCCGTAGACAGGTGGTCCTGGGCACTTGACACAAATGTGTTTAATGCAAGAGCAGCCTCTGTCACAAACGTCAAGGTCCAGGAGGAGACAGGTTGCTTGGGCTGCCAGGGCACAGCAACACTCTCTCTGTCCTATGCCTGCGGCCAGTATTTGTCAAAGGCAGCTGGGGCCTCAGTCCTCCTTGGGAACCTGGCCTGGCTCTCCCATGTGGGGTGGAGGAGGCAGTGGGGTTGCTCCCCAGCCCAAGAAAGGCCAAGTGTGTGGCTGGAGCCGTGCTGCTCCTGGGTTGGGGTGTTGGGGAAGATAGCTTGGTTCTAGATGTGGTTGGGAAGCAGAACAAAATGAGGGGCTCCTGGGGACCAGGTGTGTGGCAGGAGACAGAGAGGGACCCACAACCAGGCTTAGGGTAGCAGGGAGGACCCTTTCCTGCACCTCCCCAGACATTCATTCCTGCACCAGCCCAGCGTCACCAGCCCGAAAACACCCCTATGCCGGGTGCTGGGGACGGCAGGTGCATGGGGTCCTTTTCAGCCTCCCTGGCTTGGGCACAGGCCAAGGCCCTGGCTGCTGTGCCCTCGGCCCTCACCCATGGTCTCTCTCTGCCTCCTTCCTCCCAGGGGGGATGCAGGCAAGTTGCAGCCCAGGCTTTCTCCAGACCTTAGCAGAGCCAATCAGCAACTTCAGTTCTATCCTGAGTTTCCCAGCCAGGCGAGGCACTGTGGATTAGGACAGGACCTCTCGATTCAGGATCATCCCAGCCACCCTGTCTGAGAGGAATCTGCTATCTCGGCAGCCCAGATTCCGGTCACCACCTCGGTAGCCGTGGCTCAGAGCTGGGCCACTGTTGTTCTGCCCTGGGTCCCCTCAGATTTGAGCAAGGCTCCCACCTCACTCCAAGGAATCTGGGGTCCTCCCACCCACATGGGTATCCCCATCCTTATGGCTTCTGTTCTGCATTTCTCCTTGCTGCCCACCCTCCCAACCCCACCTCTGTCCACCACCTGAGCCCTGCCTCTGGTCCTTTTGTGGGACACTAGTTTTTCCTAAATTTGCAGGTCTTGCTCCTGGATCCCCTTGCTCCTGGATGGAGTCTGCTCACACCTCCCACTCATTGCCGCCGTCCCTGCCTAGCTGCCACCCCCTCACCTGGCCAGGGGTGGACACAGCTGGCCTTTGAGGCCCTGTGAGTGAGGAATCCTCCCTGCTACTCCAGCAAGGTGAGCTGGGAGGACACAGGTCCCGCAGCTGGCCTGGATGCTCTCCCAGGCCAGTGCCAGGCAGGAAGGGCCACAGAATTTAGGACAGAGATATGGCTGGAGGGAGCATCCTTGCCCAGCATGTGGAAAGGGGCTGGGTTCCAAGCCCAGCACCACAAAAAGAAAGACAGTCACGGAGTTGACATCTGGGGAGAGGGGCACACACTGTCCTGTGTCTGACTGTGCCAGGTGTGTGAACTGCATGTGCTCTCTTCCCGCTCTTCGGTGTTTTTGAGCTGGGTGGGGGGGTTGTCCTCAGAAGGGCATTGTGTCTGTGCCCTCCACAGGCTGCACCCATGTGCCACTTGCCCAGCACGGGGTGGAGTTGGACACAAGGAGCTGGACACAAGTCTTCAGGAAGTGGGCACTGGCTGAGGTGGGCACAGACCCTTGGTCCTGCGTACTGCCCCCCTGTGGAGGAGAATGGGGGTGCACTTCCGCTGGGGCATGGGAGGGGAACCATATGCAGACTACTTAACTCCATTTACCCTGGATCCAGGTTAGCCAGGATGATGAGTGCTGCACTACAAGATGAAGGGGACCCCTCAAGCTCAGCACTCATCTGGGTTTTGCTGGAGACCATGGTCCCCAAGCTTGGGGGCCACACTGCCCCCTCGTGGAGAAACTGCTGGAAGTGCTCTCCCAGGGTGAAGGCTGAGTTCTCACTGGAGGTGACAGCAGGTTTGTGTGTGCATGTGTGTGAGTGTGCGTGCACATGCTTCACTTCATGGGTCTGGCCATCGGAGAGGCCCCTTGGCCCTTATCCTCCTCTTGGGTACAGCTGGCTCCTATGGGTGACAGGACCAGAACTAAAGTCCCAGCACTCCGACAGAAGGGGAAGGAATGGCCCTGAAAGAAGAGGACAGCAAGAGACCTGTGGGCAACTTGAGCCGATGGTTTCCACCTGGCACACCTGCTCCTGCTCCAGCCGGTCCCTTCCCTGCACTGGGAGCGAACCCCTATCCAGCAGTGCCCAGCCCTCTGCATCTCCCGCCCTGTTCACCATGCTATACTGGCAGCCCTGGGCCTGATGTCCCCTGCCATCAAGTTCTCCCCTGTCAGGGTCACTTACCCAAGTCTGCATGCCTCTTCTCCTGCTCCTTCATGATGGGGCAGAAATGTCACCTCCTCTTGCACTGACCTCTCAAAGTCCCTGCAGTTCCTTCCTTTCCCTACAGCTTTCTTGGCAGTTACAGATATTCCTCCTTTAACCTATTTGTTTCACAACTGCTCAGACTTGTGCCCCACTGCTCAGACGAATGACCCACTATTCGGACTTATGACCCTCTTTCTTTTCTCTTCTCTTTACTATAAAGTTCTGCACATCTTGTTGACAGAGCCTGTCTTTTCCTGCCCAATGCAGTCTCCTAGTGTCCTTTGAGATAGAGGAGGCTTCCTCCCAGACATAGTGTCCCTGTGTCAGAAGTCCCACTCTGCCCTCTTCACCACCGGGTGGTCACCACCGGGTACATCCTTCCGTCTCAACGGTCAGGCACTTGGGACAGCAGCAGAGTGTGGGTGCTGGAAAGAGGGCATCTTCTCTGGGGCTGGGGATTTAGCTCAGCGGCATAAAGCACCTGCCTTGTTAGCAGGCAGTCGTGAGTTCGATCCCTGGTACCGATAAAAAGGAAAAAGACAAAAAAAAAAAAAAAAAAAAAAGCCAGCTGCTTGCTGCCTAAACTTGAGTATCATTTGCAAAGCCCACGTGGCCCACAAAGGGTTGCAAGAGCTACCAACCCCTTCTCAGTCCTGAACCTGCCTCCAGGGCCCCTAATGACCTGCTCTGGGGTCTACCCACAGCCACCCGGGTGAAGCCATCTCCTAGAGAGCTCTGCCCCATTCCTGTGCGGACCAGGCAAGGGAGACAACATACTCGCATCCCACCGCACCCCTGCCTGGCAGGGAGACCTCACTCTGACCCGGTAAGCAGGGGCCCTCACTAAGCACCCGTGTCTGACCCACGCATTGTGGCGGTCGCACAGGTCTGGGTCGCACAGAGGGGAAGAGGCCATAGAGGGGACCGAGTGGAGAGAGGGGCTCTCAAGGATGGAACACCTCGGACCTGGGCGGGGGCTCTGCAAGACTCCTGTGCTGTGAGACAGCACTCGTCCACGACGCTGAAGAAGGGGGACCAGAGAAGGCGACTGTCCTGTCTTGCCCGCGGACCTCTCCAGACTCGGGGTCCCCACCTGAACAAATGCGTTCGGCGGGCTCGGATGCACACGCAGGTCCAACATTCGGGATCAGTCGACTCCCCGCTGCCCATTAGGAGCGGCCACCTGGATGCGTGCCTCGGGCTGAGTGGGGCTCCAAGGACCCGGCCAGACTCCGGCGGGGGCGGGGCGTTTTGTGGGAACGGGCGGGGCAGTCTCCTTGGGGGCGTGGCCTCCGGCGGGGTGGGCGCGATTCCGGGCGGCGGCCGCGGTCCCCGAAGGGCGGGCGCGGAAGTCCCGGAGCCTCGCCGCCGCCATGTCGTCCAGGGACGCAGGCACAGGCGGCCGGGAGGGGGCTCCGCGCGCGGCCGCCGCGCTCTGCGGCCTGTACCACGAGGCGACCCAGCAGCTCCGGCGTCTGCAGGATCAGCTGACCGCCCGCGACGCCCTCATCGCGCGCCTGCGCGCCCGCCTGGCCGCGCTCGAGGGCCACGCGGCGCCTTCGCTCGTGGACGCGCTGCTGGAGCAGGTGGCGCGCCTCGGGGAGCAGCTGCGGTGGCGCGAGGACGGCGGCCAGGAGGCGCAGCTGCGCCAGGTGCGGCGGCAGGTGCTGGGGCGGGGCGGGGCGCGGCGCGGCGGGGCGGGGCGGGGCGCTCCAGTCAGTGCCCGCCCCGTTGGGTCCGGGGTCCCTTCCTACCCCACCGCTTGGCTTCTGCGAGCCGGGACAAGGGCAGCGTCAGAGGACAAATGCGAACCTTAGCATCCTCCTCCGCTGGTCTCCGATGTGTCTGCTTTTCGTGGGATAAACGGGACCATCCAGCACAGCCCGCAGCCGCCGCAGGGTCCAGGAACCTAGGGGTCTTGGGGTCGGGGTCTGCCTGGAGGGGAGGAGCTTGCAGACCAGAGTGTGCGCAGCCGTACCTGGAGGGAAAAAGAACCTGCCTTTTTCGTTTTCTGATTATGCGAGTGATTTTACATATCTGAAAAATAAAGGAAATAATCAAGAATAAAAATCCCCCTGAGCCCACGATGACGACGTGGCCGCTCAGCGGTCCAGATGCCTCTTCCTGTTTTCCCCTGGCAGCGCGGTGACACCCGGCCGGATGACCTGGCGCCCTCCACGCCGTGGCTTCGTATTTTGGCAGGGTTTTCCTGCCTGTGGAGCGCGAGGTGCGTTCAACAGCCAGACCCCGCACCCCCAGCTCTCTCTTCCTGAAAAGTGGGCTGGAGGGAAATTCAGAAGCTGCCTGCTCTGTGCCCCTGATGTTAGGTATCGAGAGGACGGCGAAGGCACCGTGGGCCTGAGGTAGCACCAGAACTCTCACAGCCTCTGCCCGAGGGCGTCCAGGCACACAGGCAGACCCGAAACAGCCAGGTCTGTGCCAGCAGCGTCACCCCTTCCCTTCCTCTTTATAGGAGGTTTTGTTTGAGATTTAAAAGTAGTATAATCTTGCAGTTTTATTTAGAAGATTTTGTTAACATTACTGAGGTAATTTTTAATTGTATACTTTTCAGTCTGCCAAAAGCAACTGACCAAACATTAAACATGGGTATCAGAAATTAACCTGTCGAATACGGGAATTCTGAGAAATTCTATTTATTTTCATCTTAGTACTGACTTCTGTGACGCAGCTCCTTAGGATATGTGGTTTGCAAAGGTAAATGCAAGTTTAGACAGAAAGCTAATGTGCTTTTATGGCTGTACATACATATGTAAGCCCAATTTTAACAAACAGGACAGGAACAGTGGTTGTTAAATCAATGCAAATACAATGTTTTTTTTTTAATACTGTCTTTAAATTTTTTTTCCTCTTTTCCTGGTGGTCTTTTTCACCCCCTAGTACTAGCCATTAATGTAGCCCTTCTCAATGAACTATATTTCAAGCTCTAGTATTTTTTTTTTGAGACAGCATCTTGCTAAGTTGATAAGTTGCTCAGCCTAGGTTTGAATTTGGAGTCCTCCTGCCTCAGCCTCCCAGAGTGATGGGATTACAGGGATGTGCAGATGTACCCTGGCTGCTTATTGTTGTTTAGATGCTACCAGAGAATATAACATTGTTATGTTTGAAATCATTCATTTCAAACAGCACAAGGAACTGACTGATTTTAATTTTAGGAAAAGTTTTGTTTTTTGGTACCGGGGATTGAATTCACTACCTCAGCCTTGCTAGCAGGCGTTTAAGCTACTGGGCCAAATCCCCAGAAATTTTAGGAAAAGTTAATGAATGTAAAAATAATAATATAATAGAAAATAATCAATTGAAAACAAATGATTACTGCCATTCATTTAATAATGGTTCATATAGATGTTATACTGCAGTCTGCAATGATAACACCCTGTGCTTGTGGGCAGCTGCCTACGCCAGAGAGCTGTGTGCAAAATGAGGTTGTTCCCAAGGTCCAGAAAGCAATGCAAAGGATGAGGAAGAGAAGAGAAGGAGCTTCAGGTGACCACACCTGTGCAGAATTAGGGACAGTGAGCAGTTGCTTGAGTGGCTGATCCAGAAGAAACCATGGAGGGTGAGGTGGGGTGCACCCTTGTCCTTGGCCCCATAAGGCCACCAGAGCTGCTCCTCCTGTGTGCGTGCCTGGAGTGGCTGAGATGCAGCGACAATAAGGAAACTTCTCCTCTGCAGACCCCTGGGATATCCTCACTCACCTGTGTGTTGGTTTGCAGGGCCCCCATTCTGGTCCTTTTGGTGTGACAGACACCTCCCTGCAGAATCCAGGGGCCCAGAATGAAGTCAGAGGTGGACCTCTGCACCTCGTATGGCCCATGGGTACCATGGGATGTGTTGGGCCAAGTTTGCTTTTTTATTCTCTGATGACAAGTGGGGTGGCACCAGTTCCAAAGAACCGGGATTATTGGTGACCTTGGTGTAGATCCAGAGAGGAGAGTATGCAGAGATGAGCAGCGTGTACTGAGGTGGCAGAACAGTGCCAGGGAGTGAGGGTGTGTCCAGAGGTGCTAGGTCAGGGGGCTGTGTTCCGGGACTGCCTTCTTGCCAGCTGTCCAAGGTGACACCGTAGTGCACACTTGTGAGCATCTGTAGTTTTTTTTTTTTTTTTTTTGTCTTTTTCGTTTTTATCGGTACCGGGGATCGAACTCACGACCGCCTGCTTGCAAGGCAGGTACTTATGCCGCTGAGCTAAATCCCCAGCCCCGCATCTGTAGTTTTTAATAAAGACAGTTTAGTATCTGATATGCAGTTATTATTTACCTGACTTCCACCCTGGGCCAAGCACAGAGCCTGTGGAAGAGCAGGGAAGTTTATCTTGCAGAGTCCTGGGTTCACCAGGGTCACAGAGCGGAGTTAAAACCCCCAGGCAAGCTGGGCACAGGGGTGCACATCTGTAATCTCAGTTGCTCAGGAGGTTGAGGCAGGAGGACCACAAGTTCCAGGCCACTCTGGGGAACTTATTGAGACCCTGTCTTAAAATAAAAAGTGGAAATTCTGAGGATGTAGCTCAGTGAGAGTTCTGAGTTCAATCCCCAGTACAAACAAAACAACCAAAAACGAAGAGGTGAGTTCTTGGTAGGTTGTTGTGTTTTTTTATTTTTTGGCACTGGGGATCAAACTTACCAGGCAAGTGCTTGAGCCATTGAGCTAAATAAATCCCTGGCGGTCACTGTCATTGATGGCCACGTCAGCAGTTCATTAGGAGCAGGGACCCCCAGTAGGGACCGAGGGATTCCCAAGAGGCTACAGAGGCTCAGGGATACTCAGTGGCTCCAAAGTCTGTGTGCACCATCAGGATGCGCCTACAGCCTGCAGCTGGGGTGGCTGTGGGTGGCAGCCTTGGAGGCCCCCTCCACCATCCTGCAAGTCTGCCCAACTTTCAGAGGCCTGGACTCCTTCAGCACAGAAAGGCTGTTCTCTCATCGGGCTGAGCACATCCGAGTCATGCAGAGGGAGGGGAAAGGATAGCTGGGAAGAATGGCTCTCACCTGAGATTCCCAGCCTGGCAGTAGAGGGCACCTGGGGGGACAGCTGATGGGAGTAGGTGCTGTGTGGGTGGAAACCTCATGGTTTGGGGGGAGGCATGTTAGAGACAGTGGGGCCTGGTGTCTGGCCTGGTTCCTGAGCGTTCCCCCCCTCCCTTTCCCTGGGCCCGTGCCTGCCTTCTACTGGGTCTTCTGGGCAGCTAATGCTAGATACACAGGGCAAGTGTCACCATGTCTCAGACCTGGGCGCTGTCTCCCCTCAGGCAATACTGGGATTGAGTTTTTTTCTGCTTTGGCTCCCTCAGCTAATGATTTTTTCAGAGGCTTCTTTGAAAACAGGAAAGCACAGAATTGTCATTTTGGCTGGGCCTGGTAGCAGGTACCTGAGTCCCAGCACTTAAGAGGTGTGGTGGAAGGGTCAGTGGAGATCAGTCGGGACAACAGAGACACCCTGGCCCAAAACAAAAACGTAACAAAACAAAATTGTCATTTTAAGAGCTCTTTTTAAAAAAAGTCATTAGGGTTGCATATATTAGTTTCATAGAACTGCTATTAAAAAGTACCACCAGTTTGGCGGCTTACGGCAGCAGACATTTAGCATTTTCACAGTTCTAGAAGCCGGAAACCCCACAGTAAGGTGCTGGGAAGGGGCCCCTCATCTGAGCCTCTGCCCGGACACAGTCCCTGTCCTTTGCACAGGGGCACATTGCTCTGGTCGCTGTCTTCATGTGTGTGCCTGCCTTGATTCCCCTCTTCCTGGAAGGACATGTGTGATGGATACAGGGTGAAAAACAAAATGTACTTCCAGCTAGCAGGACCTCAGGTACATCAAACTCATGTTTCCCGAAACTGAAGCATGAATTCTAAGGAACAGCAGAGGTTAAGAGTAGGAAAACCCGGGGCTGGGGATTTAGCTCAGTGGCATAAGCGCCTGCCTTGTAAGCAGGCAATCATGAGTTCGATCCCTGGTACCGATAAAAACGAAAAAGACCAAAACAAACAAACAAACAAACAAAGAGTAGGAAAACCTTATTGAGAGAGACTTAGCACCTGAGAGACAGGAGGGGACCCAGAAGTAAGTTCCTGAGAACCCTACTTCACAGAGGAAGTTTTCGTGGGACAAGACCATGATCCACCAATAAGATCTTAAGTTTCGCCACCGAGATAATGCTGGGCCAATGGAAAAGCAGGTCGTGGAGCCAAGGTGCAGGAGAACCAGGGGGCTCCGGCCACCACTGGGCAACTGGTGGTAATGTTAATTTGTTGCTTATCCCCAGGAGACACGCAGGCCTGGGCCCCAGCAGATGGGCTGGCCCTGGGGCTGGCCGCAGCCAACATGCACTGTGTGCTCTGCTGGGCCCTGACTCCCGGAGGGCCCAGCCCTGCCTGCCTGCCTCAAGTATTGCTACCTAGCTTGCTTGTTTGTAATACCATTAGGTCAAGGCCTGTGCTAGCCAGGACCTGATCAGTATGACTTAATCTGTTTTTAAATTATAGATATCATTTATTGGTACTTCTGAATTGCCAGGTGCTATGTGAAACAATACCTTTATTATCTTATGTGGGAACTGCGGAAGTGCGGTGGGGTCCAGCTCACCCCTGTTTCGCAGACAGGAAACTGAAGCTTAGTGTCCCCAGAATCACAGTGTACACAGTGTACACTGATATTAACTAAGGAGGTCTGCAGAGCCTGTCCTAGGTGCAGTCCTGTTCCCAGGCCCGATTTTCGATGCCCCGCAGCAGTGGCGTCTTCCTTCCAAGGTGCATTTTGGGTTCCTGCTTTTAGTACATTACTGATGCGAAGTCTGAGCTTGCTGCTGAGAACAGACTTAGATGACTCTGTGTCCCAGAGCCCTGTAAGCTGGGAACCTGAGGCCGGGGCTCAGCTCTGATCTCGCGTCTGTGTGTAGTGGTCCCATGCTGCCTGCACTCCTCTGCTAGTCTCCCGGGGATGTGCGGATGGCTGCCAATGACCATTGCTGCTGTTGTGCCCAGCAGGAAGTGAAGAGACTCACCCAGCGCCTGGAGGAGAGAGAGCAGGAGCTGCAGCTGGCTGAGAGCCAGCCGTGGCCTGAACGGGACAAGGAGGTAGCCCTGCTGCAGAGGAGCGTGGCTGAGAAGGAGCGGGCTCGGGCTGCCAGCGATGTGCTGTGCCGCTCCCTGGCCAGTGAGACCCAGCAGCTGCGCAGGACGCTGGCCGCCACCGCGCACATGTGCCAGCACCTGGCCAAGCGTCTGGAGGAGCAGCCCTGTGCTCAGGGAGCAGTGAGGAACAAAGGCCTGGATGAGGTATGGCAGGCCAGTGTCATTGCCTGGTAGAGGTGAAGCCAGGCAGGGAGGCAGGGCCTGGAAACCTGCAGTGTGGCGGGAAGCAGGACAGCCACTGCCTGCCCCATGCTACACACCCCACACTGCTCCATGCAACCTGTGCAGGTGGGGATGGTGTCGCCTGGGAGGGACTGGGGGTGGAGGGGCTGCCCGGGAAGTGTTGTCACATGTGTGTTGTGTGGATGAGGAAGCTGAGGCAGACATGGCAGAACCCACCTGTGTGTAGGGGCTGGACCTCCTTGGCCCCTGTGCCTCTGAGTGGTCGGGATCTCATGCACCTCTCATGGGCTCTCATGGGCTCAGGGAAGTCAAAACTGCCACCTCTGAGGCTGGCTTCTGGGCAGACTGTGCTATCAGTGGGGATACCAGGTTGTCCTCAGGGCCACAGGTTCCTCATCAACACTGGACCTTCTGTGAGCTGAGCCAGAGACAGAGCCACCCAGGGGTCCTGGGCCAGTGGCTGTGGGTGCCTGAGAAGGTGTGGGCCAGTTTGGGTGAGGCTGGCCAAGCTTGGGAGGGACAGGGTGCTGATTCCCATGAGGGCAGGTGCCACAGGCTTCATGTCCTGGCAGGAGGAGCAAGGGACCACAGGACCTGGCACTGCTCCTGGTGGTGCCTGCCCCTGGCCCCCCGCTGTGCACCTTTCTGGGCCCCAGCCTTGGGTTGCTTCTGGGGGCCTCCTGGGACACAGAGGACTTCAGAAACTCAATCCCAGTGCCGCCTTCAGGGAGACAGCGCCCAGGTCTCAGCCATGGTGACACTTGCCTGTGTATCTAGCATTAGCTCCCCAGAAGAGCCAGCAGAAGGCAGGCATGGGCCATAGGGAAGGGGAGGGTGACAATCACATCATCTGTCTCACCGCCACTTCTCAGCCCTGGCTTGGCTGAGTCACTTGGGGCTTCCCAGGAAGGGTGGGGAATTCTCAAAGGGGAATTCTCAAAAATAATGTCTTTGAGAAAAAAAGGCCAGGTGTTGTGTTGCATGCCTGTAATCCCAGCACTTGAGAGGCTGCAGCAGGAGAATCGCTGTGATCAAACTCAGCTTGGGCCAGCTTGGGCATCTCAAAAACAAATGAGCAAATAGTAAATAAAAATAATGTCACCAACACAGTCCCCTGCATCGCCCAGTGCAGAGAGGAGCTAGAGTGCAGTTGGTGTCTGACAAGATTTTCTGTTCGGTGGAAGTGTTCCACTGGGGCTGGCATGGGCTGGTGGATGCCACAGTTGCTGAAATGTGCACAGGAGGGCATGGGGATCCAGGTCTCCCACCGTGGTGGTCTCAGGTGGTAGCAGGGAATGGGGGTTCTCGTGTCCTCTCTCCTGATGATGGTGATGCATGGTGATAAGAGCTTTTGTTCTAGCTGGAGGCTGATCCAGTGGACACTGAGCTCTAGAAAGCTTGGTTCAGGAGTAGAAAGACATGGGAGACCTGTGGGGGGCCATGGAGCCTGCAGGTGCTGTGGGCTGTGCTCTGCTCCTGTCACCAGAGCAGTCCCTGCCTGCTGTGGCGTGGGGTGCATGGATGTTTGGTCCCAGTGTCCCCCCTTAGTGCGTGTCACCTCTGTGACTTCTCTGCATTCCTTCTTATGTAGACAGAGCGGATAGGTGAGGACACTGCTGTCCAGGTTGTCATCAAGAAGCTACAGGAAGAAAACCAATTGCTGAAGCAGAAAGTGACCCATGTGAGTGTCCTTGGTGCTTCTCTGAGAAGAGCACCCAGCCTGGTGAGCAGTGGGGGTTTGTTCCTCAGCATGGAGCCTGGCCTTTCTCCGAGCGTGGCCTTCACACAGCTACATCCTCAGCTTTTTAAAAAAAGTGTTAAAAACATTTTATTTTGAGTCAGTTTTGTTAAGGTGGCCAGGCTGGGGTGGAATTTGTGGTCCTCCTGCCTCAGCCTCCTAGGGTGGTGAGATTACCACCACACCTAATTTTTTTCTTTTTGAAACAACTGGGAATTGACACAGGACCTTGTGAACACTGGACAAGTGCTCTGCCGCTGAGCTGCAACCCCAGATTGCAGCCCTTTTTATTTTCTAAGACAGAAGGTAGATCAGTTCCCCAGCCCGGGCTTAAACTTTTGCTTCTTCTGCCTCAGTCGCCCAAGCAGTTGGTATTACAGGTATGTACCATCCGCCGAGCAGGAAGTAGTTTTTCAGGCTGGAAACTTGAGTCAAGTGCTTTTCTGTGTAAGCTCTCTGCTGTGGATGTCACTGAGGGGTGCTAGGAATCTTGGGGTCCTGGGTACCATGCTGCTGAGGTTCCCGTGCTGCCTTCACAGGTGGAGGACCTCAATGCCAAGTGGCAGCGATATGATGCCAGCCGGGATGAGTACGTGCGGGGGCTCCAGGTGCGGCTGCGTGGACTGCAGGAGCCCCAGGAGCCCGAGCTAATGAGAAAGGAGATAGCCCGGCTCAACCACCAGCTGGAGGCCAAGATGAGGGAGTGCATGGAGGCTGAGCGGGAGCTGGCAGCCGCAAAGATGGCTCGGGACGCCGCCCTGGAACGAGTGCAGATGTTGGAGCAGCAGGTGTGGCCCTGAGGCCAGGACAGGCCAAGGGCTCGGTGGCCCTGGGTGGTGGTGGTCATGGGGACAGAAATCAGTGTCCTGTGTCTCCTCAGATCCTCGCTTACAAGGATGACTTCACATCAGAAAGGGCAGATCGGGAGCGGGCTCAGAGCAGGATTCAGGAGCTGGAGGAGAGGGTGGCCTTGCTCCTGCAGGCGGCCCGGGCACAGGTGGGTACAGGGTGCTTCTGGGGCAGGCCAGTCATTTTTCATAAATGTCAGTCTCTGTCTGCCCTGAGCTGTGACAGATGTGTCGGCAGGGGGCACGCTCACGTACCAAGTCCCTCCATGGGGATGGGGTGGCCCTTGTGGCAGAGGTGGCTGTCTTCAGGGCCTGTGCTCCCTAGGCAGGAGCAGAGAGCAGCTCTACCCACATCTGTCCTGGCTGGGAGGCAGGAACCTAGTGATGTGTTATGTGGTGTCACAGGCCACAGGTGTCCACCAAGGTCCTTGGTGCAGCCTCTGGGCTCAGTGCACCCCCAGTGTGGGCTATGACTACCCAGCAGCTCCCTGCCCCCAAAGTCCGGCCCATGTTCTGCATTGGTCCAGGGAGGCCATTTCCAGCCATTTAGTGTCAGCTGCCACTGTCCTAGGGTTTTGCTGTCCTGACCTGGACAGTGGTGCCAGTGCTGACCATGGAAATGCCCTGCTGGAGAGCATGAGCAGGGACCCAGGACCACACGTCCTCTGCATGCTAGGCCCCGAAGGTGACCCCTGCCTCCCTTTTCTGGTACAAGCGTGTAGGGAGCCATGGCAGGTGTCTTTCTTCCACACCAGTGCTACTTGTGATGGAGGACAAGGGAGGGGACTGAAGTTTGTAGCTAGTAAGGAGGTGCCAGAGGCCATCCCAGCCTGGCCCTCCTTGTCAGCAGGCTTCTTTTTTTTTTTGTCTTTTTCTTTTTTATTGGTACCAGGGATCGAACTCACGACTGCCTGCTTGCAAGGCAGGCGCTTATGCCACTGAGCTAAATCCCCAGCCCCTGTCAGCAGGCACTGGCATGGGCTGCGTGGTTCCTGGTTCTCCCTGAGCCCTGGACCCCAAGTGCCAGCCAAGCACCTGCAGCCATCTCCTGGCCAGGCGGGGGCAAGGCACAGGTTTTCTTGGGATTTGCATGTGCTTGGGGGTTTTCTAGCCTCTCGTCTGTACCTGATTTGAAGGCTGCTCACGGCCTTTGCATCGGGGTGGTCTCGGGTGGCCCATCTAGAAGCCTGTCATCTGGGACAGAGGAGTGTCCAGCAGCAGTGCTGGCCTGGTCAGCCCCCAGGCAAGGTTCGTGGTGAGGCTGCTGTGGCCCCCGTGTGGTCCCAGCCCTGGGTAGCATGCCTGGGGGCCACAGTCCTGAGGATGAGAGTGCTGAGCCTGAGCTAGACTCCTGGGTAGCGGGTGAAGTGTTTCTAGCTGCTGGAACCCAGGCCTGACCTCTGCTTTACCTGCAGGATCCCCAAGCATTGGGTACCCGCCAGATTCATGCTGGGAGCAAGACGACCCCATACTTAGAGACAGATGCTCTAGAGATCCCAGCCCCAGGGCCTGGTCCTCCACAGCTGGAAGCCCCGGAGGAGGGAAGGCACCCCAGCACAGCCCCAAGAGGACAGGGCGACCTGCAGTGCCCTTACTGCCTGCGCTGCTTCAACGATGAGCAAGGCGAGGAGCTGCTTGGGCATGTGGCCGAGTGCTGCCAGTAAGCGGGCTGCCGGACCCACCCGCCAGGGCCTGGAGACAGTGGGGCGCTGTTGGGTGCCTCAGATGGAGAGGAGCCCGTAGCTGCCTCTGTCCCGTGGGCCAGGGATAGACATGTCTGGAGAAGTGGAGCTCCAGGGGTGGCGGGCAGTGTGGCGGGCCCTATCCAGGGGCATGAAAGTCTCCACACTGCCAGGCAGGAGCTGCACACTGTCCCGCATGGGGGGATTCGGAGGCCACCGTGGCAGGAGGAAGCAGCGCCTGGAGCCGCTCTACAGAGCAACCTGTGGCCCGCCTCCCCCTCCCCTTTTTTTTTTTTTTTTGAATTTTTTGTCTAAATTTCCAGCCGCTCCCTTACTGTTTTGACACATGTCCTCACTGCTGTGATTGCTCTGGGCCTGACTTAGGTGGCGCCGAGGGGTGGTGGGCAGCAGGGCTGATGCTACCCGCCCACCCGGCTTCTCCTGCAGCCCCCCAGGCGGGCTGCGCCCCTCCCGCTGGGCCTCGGAGCTCTGGGCATGCAGCTACCCCAGGTGAGACCTCACGTGCAGACAGCAGCATGGCCTTGGGCCCAGAGCCATGATACCCACGCTGGGCTCTCAGGATTTGGGTTGAGCTGCTAGACCCCGAGGTGACCCCGAGCTCTGCCTTCGGCCCCTCAGTCCTGCAGCAGCGAGGCCCTTGGGGCAGGGCACCTCTGGTCCTCTAGTCCCTGCAGCCTCAAGACTTCGCAGAGTGGACTCTGAGACAATGTATTTCTGGAAATAAAGGGACCTGAAAATGAAGATAGAATAAAGGTATTTTTTAGACAAAGAAGCTAAGAAAATTTATATCCTGCAGGCTTCCTACAAGAAATATCTATACTACAGAAATTGTTGGTGCTGAGCCAGGGACAGTGGCAGCCTGTAATCTACGTGGGAGACAGGATTGCAAGTTCAAGGCCAGCCTGGGCTATTTAGGGAGACAGTGTTTCAAAATAAAGAGGGCTGGGGATGTAGCCTGGTGGTGGGGCATTTGCCATCCTGTGAGAGGCCCCTGGTCAAGCCTTCAGTATTGCAAAAAAGGAAAAAAAAAACTATTCAGGCTAAAGGAAAATGACCCAGGTATAAGGGCAGAAACCTAGAAAAGAAGAGCAAGAGTATGAGCAGAGATTAATGAATATTGCTTTAAAACGCATGTAAACATGACTACAGGAGCTTATGGGTGTGTGTAGATGGGATGTATCTAGCGGAATTGCAGTACTGTTAGATTTCTGGGTTGATTTAAGGTGGACTGTAATTGAGGAAGCATATTGTAATCTCTAGGGTAACCATTAAAACAATAGTAAAATATTTAATAAATAGCGAATAGGAGCTGAGTACACACCTGTAATTCCAGCACTTGGGAGATGGAGGCAGGAAGACTGGTGTGAGTGTTCAACCAGCTTGGGCTACAGAGTTCAGGATCAGCCTAATCTACAGTGAGACCTTGTCTCAAAAAAAAAAAAAAAAAAAAAAAAAAAAGAAACAAAACAAACACTAACAGAACAGAAAAATAAAGTAGCTTTTGACTAGGACATGTGAGGAAAAATTTTTTAAAAGAGACAAATAGAAGACAGATGGTAAGCCAGCTGCAGTGGTATATGCCTGTAGTTCCACCTCAGGAGGCTGAGGCAGGAAAATCACCTGAGCCCAGGAGTTTGAAGTCAGCCTGGGCATCAGAGTACAACCCTACCTCAGAAAACAGATGAAAAGCCAACTATGTTTGTAATTACGTTAAATTTAAAAGGGCTGCTTTGATTGAAAGAAAGATTGTCACCAGATATAGTGGCCCATGCCTGTAATCCCAGCACTTGAGAGACTGAGGCAGGAACATCACTGCAAGTTTGAGGCTAGTCTGGGCTACAAAGTGAGTTCAAGGCCAGCCTGGACTACATAGCAAGACCCTGTCTCAAACAACAGAACAAAAGAATAAAAAGACTGTTATCATACAGAATGGAAACTTTTAAAAGCCCTATTTCCTCGTTAGAAAAGGCATGCTTCATTTTTATTTCTGCACATTCTAGGCAAGTAAGTGCTGTGCTAAGAGCTATAACATGACCCTAGAAAACCTGAACTTTAAGAAAAGAACATGAGGCAGAGTTTAGCTCAGCGTGCAGCGCCTGCCTGGAAAGCACAAGGTCGTGAGTTCGATTCCCAGTACAAAAAAAAACAAGAAAGAACATGAGTGGGGGTGTGACTCAGCAGCAGAGCTTCTTCCTGGCTGGCACAAGGCCTGGGATTCCATCCCTGTGTGTGTGTGTGTGTGTGTGTGTGTGTGTGTGTGTGTGTGTGCATATATTACAGATCTACACGCGTGCCTACGTAAGAGCACAATATGGGAGGACAGAAAAGACACCAGGCCAATATTACCAAGAAAGTGAGTGGCAATATGATTATCAGAGTGGAGTTTATGTAATTAAGTTTGTACAGAGCTTAAAAATAATGCTTAAAAATCCATAAAGCAAAAGCAAACCTACACCAGCCACAGTCATTCACTGGCGATTTCAATGCATAGTTTGGTGTAGGAGCAGCAGAGAGTAAATGACAGAAGATTTAAACAAAATAGACCACCTGGCCTAATTTATACACACAGAACATTACGGCCAACAAAAGCTGGCTGTGTATTCTTTTTCGGTGTATGTGGAACACTTACTAAAAGAGACTGCTGTGGTTTGCATCTAGATGTCCCCTTAAGGCCTTGGGCCCTTGTAGGCAGGCTTTTAGGAAGTGACTGGCTCCAATCCTCTGGTTCCGCAGAATCTAGGTGTGGCTGGCAGGTTTACTGAGGAGGGAAGATCCCCCCTGGTGTGGACAGCACCAACCAATAGGCTTACAGCCTGGGGGGAATGACAAGGCAAAGGAAGAGGAAGTCTTGCAGACTCCGCCCTGCCTTCCAGAAGCTCTTGCTCCTCTGCCAGATTGCCCTATTCTGAAGCAGCAACTACAGGAGACTTAACCCTTATAGACTGGGCCAAAAGAAACTTCTTAAGTTGTGGATGTCAGGCACTGTGTCCCAGCAAGGAGAACTGCACTGGATGTAGCTCAATGGGAAGGCCCTGCGTTTCTCCTCAGTGACACAAATAAAAGACATCAGCAAATCAGAAGGACATTGCCCTGATGTGTTTTTTTTTTTTTTTTTTTTTTTTTTTTTGTCTTTTTTATCGATACCGGGGATCAAACTCACAACTGCCTGCTTGCAAGGCAGGTGCTTATGCTGCTGAGCTAAATCCCTAAGACACTAACACCTGAGAAAGACACAAAACATAAAATGAGCCCCAGGGGAAAATGTACTGCTGAGATAGGCAGAGGCAGGAGGGCACCATCCATCAGGCAAGGAGCAGGAGCAGGGAGGGCTAAATGGGGGCTCGGTGGCCGCCTGGCTCATGTCCTCCACAGCTGGGCAGATGAACAGTGTGCCAAGGAAGCCCCAGTACACAAGTGCATGACCTTGTCTTCAAGGCTTGTCAAACCTAAATGCTTAGAAAAAGTTTATTGAAGTATGTAAACGTCTACAAATAGCTGAGGAGCAGGGCGCAGGGAATAAGGCAGATGTGCGGTGGACGCTCTGGCTTGCTGCTGGTGAGGACCATGTCACCGTGCAGTGTCCCCCAGTGTCTAAGGAAGTGTACCTGCCCGCCCACCCACAACACTTCAGAGTGGCTGCCTGCGGACACAGGTCACAGGATGTGCCAGTCGTCACCCGCTGGCATGTAGCTCAGTGGCTTCAGGGGCCCTGTAGTCATCACTGTGTCCATGCTAAGTCACTTTCTTGTCTCTGGAAGCTCAGTAACTACACTGCTTCCTACAGCCTCTTCCCTGCTTCCAGGACCCTTGATTTTCTGTCTCTAGAAATTCCCGTTCTGGATAGTTTCTATGCTGCTGCTCCTCCTCCTCTTCTTGAACCCAGGTCCTTTGCACTGCAGTACATTCCCAGCTCTACTTGTTTATCCTTTTGGTTTTTGTGACAGATTCTAAATTGCCCAGGTTTGGTATCCTCCTGCTAAGCCTCCTGAGTAGCTGGGACTACAGACGTATGCCACCACATCCAGTTTACTTTTTTTAGTACCATGAATGGAACTGAGGATCTTGTGCTTGTCAGGCAGGTGCTGTCACTGAACTATATCCCCAGCCCTTATATTAATTTTTCCCCTACTTTTTGTTTTGGTGCCAGGGATCAAACTCACGACCTCAAGTTTGCCAAGCAAGGCACTTACGCCACTGAGCTAAACCCCCTGGCCCAATTAATTTTAAAAATTCTTTTCTCTGTTCTTTAGTGTACAATCATGTATCAAACTAGTGTCAAATTCTTTTATTTCTGTTGGTACCGGGGATCGAACTCTTGACCTTGTACTCGCCAAGGCAGGTACTTATGCCACTGAGGTAAATCCCCAGCCTCATTTTTTAAAAAATAAAACTCAGGTCCCTTTTCAACTGAGCTATATACCCAGCCTTGCTGATGCAGGATTGCCATCAACCCTTGTTAGCATCTTTAAATCTCTAATCACTATTTCTCCTTCTTCTGTGATTTCTCCTCACTGAGAATGAAATCTGGGGCCTTGTGCTTGCTAGGCAAGTGCTCTACCACTGGGCTACATCTCTAACCAGGTTTTAAAAAAGTTTTAAGACAGGGTCTTGCTAGTTGCCCAGTGGTTCATGTTCTTCATGCCCAGTGGGTCATGCCCAGGCTGGCCTTGAATTCATGATCCTCCTGCCTCAGCCTCCTGAGTAGCTGGTATTACAATCACATGTCACTGCAACTGGCTATTCAAAATTATTTTTCCAGTAAATCTGACATCTACTTTCTTTCACAGGCAGTGTCTAATTTTTAATTTTTCCCTCTCAAGTATATACCATCCTGTTTGCACTTTGGTTGGAAACTTGAAAGTTTTACATACTATGGCAGGCTCCCATTCTCATTTTGCTATCTGCAGTGTCAGTTACTTGTGGCCAACTGTGGTCTAAAAGTATCAGATGGAAACTTCCAGAAGTAATCCTAAGTTTCAGCTCACACAGCATGCGGAGTAGGGCAGAGGAGTCCTGGCCTACCCCGCTCCACATGTCTGCTTTCCTGCAGCTGCCAGCCCATCACCAGGTCACTGTCAGGACACCAGCACTGTGTTCTCAGCACTGTGTAACCTGATCACAGCCTAAGCACAGGCACAAGGAGGCAGCTGAGTTGGGCACAACTAGGAACAGCTGTAAAATGCTTTCTTCACATGGAAGGGGGAGTTCCCAGCAAGGAAGGGGAGTGCTAAGGGTCCATGTCTGTCACAAGGACCGATCCCTCAGTGACACCATGAAGCAGAGAGAAGTCTCAACTGCGTGGGGAACATTCAGAACAGAAATGAGCAGTATCACTGCTGCCTGCAGGGTCCAGGGTCTGCCGGGGGCCCTGGACTGCACTTCCTGCAGAAAAAGGGAGAAAACTGGGATAATGCTTGGTACTTAAGTCCAGCCCCATATTAGCTTTGTACCCCTGAGCTGCAGTACCTGATACCCAGGGCTCAGAGGATGGGAGGTGGATTTTGGCTCACAGTTTCATGGGGTTCAAATGGTGGCCAGTTCCAAGCAGGAACGTTGTAGAGGAAGGGAACAGGAGCAAAGGTGCTTAGTTCACAGCAGCTGGCATAGATGACAGGGGAAGAGCCAAAAGAAGGGGGCAAGAGACCAGGTCCAGTCCTCATGACCCCCAGATACACATAGAAGTGTGCACTGCCATCACAGAGAAGGCTCCTGGGCTAATCAAGTTGACAATCCAGATGGACTGGCAGTCATCTTGTTTTCTGCTTGTGTTTAGAGACTGCCTTACTTCACGGAGGTCTCCCCCAGCGTCCAGCCCCTTACTCTCCACAGGGAGTGGCAGCCCTGGATGTGACCCCAGCCAGCCAACTGTAGTGACCTTGGCAGAGCGCTCCTCCTCTCAGTCACATCCAGGTGTCCCAGTACTGACTCCTGGCTCTTTGCCCTGCTGTTTTTTTTTTTTTTTTTTTTTTTGCCTTTTTCCTTTTTTATCGGTACCAGGGATTGAACTCACAACTGCCTGCTTACAAGGCAGGCGCTTATGCCGCTGAGCTAAATCCCCAGCCCCTGCCCTTCTGTTCTATGCTGATCAACTGTAGAAGTTTCTGAGGTCACAGTGCCTTGAGGCCCCAGCCAGTGCATCTGGGCTCCTCCAGCTGTTTGGAGAGCCATGGGCTGGAGCTTAGCTCCAAGGTGTGGGAAGATGAGCTCTCTCTGCTCCATGGCCAGGACTCTGCAGCAGAGGTGACACATAAGCAGGCTTCTAGCTGTGTGACATAGCTAGTAGCTGAGGGCCCAGGGCACACAACTGGTCTTGTTAGCTGCCCCTGCTACCTGGGCCCAGGCTATTCCAGAGCAGCCAGGACACCTCGGAGACAGCTCTGTATGTGCCTGGCGGGGCAGGAAGGTGTCTCCAGCCCGCTATTAAACAATGCTTCCTCTCATCACCGGTTTTAGCAGGTTGGCCATGATGTGCCTCTGTGGTTTTTTTCATGTTGGGTCTGCAGCCCCATCACGTTCTCAGCCTGGGATTTTGGACACAGCTCACTGGTGTGGCTCTTGCCTAGCCAGTGTGGAGGTGCCCTGGGTTTGGTCTCTGTCACTGAAATCAAACCAAACCAATCAACCCTAATAATCTGGCTATCATTTCTTGAACTTTCTGTTCCCCACCTTTTAGGGGACTCCAATTTCACAAATACTGGACTTTAGGTTTTTTTTTTTTTTTTTTTTGAGACAGGATCTTGCTATATAATTCAGGCTGACCTCAAACTCATCATATAGCGTAGGTTGGCCTCGAACTCGTAGCAATTCTCATCTCAGCCTCCCTTGTGCTGGGATTACACCTGTGTGCCACCATACCCAGCTAGCTATCCATCTTTAAATATTAATAAACATGCCATTGAACTCACTGATAATGTCCTGTGAAATTTCTAATCTGCATTTACTTGGCCCAGCAGTCTTTTTGTCTCAGATCCTGCTTCCCTGGGTCTGTATCTCCTCTTCCTGCGCCCCTCTGCAGCCTGGCGTCCCATGTTGCTCAGGGTCTGCTTCTCTGGGCTGTGTAGTCTGGGGACTGGACGCCTGTGCTTCCCTCTCCCTGGGCTGAGCACACAGGGCTTCATGCAGCATATAGGGCTCACTTTTCCTTAGGGCTGACCCCACACAACCTGCTCCCACCTCAGGTGACACCCAGGCACTCCAGGTGTTTCCCCCGCCCACTCTGGCTGCCTCTTTGTTGTCTGCAGAGCCACTGCCTAGTTTAAGGGGTTTCAGCACAGGTGTGTGTGGGGGGGCTCAGTCAGGGCAAGGGGTGCTGGTCATAGTAGGTCTTGCTGCTGGCTGGAGAGTGGGCAGCTTGGAGACCAGCTTACTCCCCTCTCCGTTATAGGTGTAGGCTACCAAAGATGCTGCCTCTGTGCAACGTGATAGCTGTGCGCTTAAAACTGACACAGCTGGAATGCATATACTTTTCTTTAAAAAGTATATTGCCCAATTGTGATAGTGCACATCTGTAATCCCAGCATTTCAGGAGGCTAGGTTCCTAGTTTCCAGGAGGATGAGTTCTAGCCTAGCCTGGGCAACTTGGCACCTTAGTGAGAAACTCTCAAAAGATAGGTCTGTCTCTGTACTTACCTGCCTATGAGGTCTATATAGGACAAAGTATTAATCCCTCTTTCACCTCATTTGGTTTCTAAGATGGGTCTTGTTATGTTGTTCAGGCTGGCTTCAAACTCCTGGACTCAAGAGCTCTGTCATGCCCCAGCCTCCACAGTAGCAGGGATTACAGGTACTTGTCACCAAGCTCAGACAGTTGGGACTTTTTCTGGCATGAATTTGTGCATGCAATTCAGCAAGATTTTGCACTGAAAGTGACTTTTTCAGCAACAGACTGTTTTGTGGCTGGTAGCACCATGTGCAGGGGAAACAGGCAAGGTTCCTGGGGAATGCTTCACGCCAGGCTCTCACAGGACAGTGGGATGAGAGATGCCACCATCTCCATGCCAGCTTGGACTGTCCTCAGGAGTGCTATCATCTCTCTCCTCAGCTGGGCTTGAAACTGCAGTCCTGCCTCAGCCTCCTGGGGTGCTGGGATTATAGGCAAGGGCCACCATTCCTGGCTCACTCTCAGTGCCCCCTTGAGGTAACAGCCAGAGATACATGGCTGTGCCCTGGAGGTGAGGGTCTCCAGGTACAGGAAGTCCTAGGGCCAAAGGAAGGCCTGGCCCAGGTGTGCCACAGCTTCAGCACTGTCCTTTGGGGACACTGCTGTGGCCAGTCTGCTCCTCCCTCTGCAGAAAGACCTCAGGAACAAAGGGACCGTGCATTTCTCCCACCTAGAGAAACACAACAAAACAAGGTAGACTCCTGGTCCCACAGCTCCTCTACTAGGGACCCTGCTGCTCCCCTGGGGTCTCCAGAGTGCCAGGACTTCCTGGCCCCTCGGTATGGAAGCCGTAGCCTTTGTCTGGGCAGCTGCTCCAACCATGGAGCCTGAAATGCCCAGCATGCAGCATGGGGGGCCAGGAAGGTCCACTGGGGTTCCCATGTTCATGTGGAGTGATGCTTGCTTTACAGCCTCCCTCAGGGGATGCCTACTGCAAGGCCACGGGACCACTCCTGATCAGCTGGATCCTGCTCTGTAGGGAGGGGCATTGGCCTCACTCAGGCTGAGACTGAACACATGGACCTTTGTCCCTGCCCCCACCTTCTTGGCACATCCATATGGTGCTCCCAAGCAGCCATGTGGCTGTATCTCGGGCCCACCCAGCCCCCATAGGTCATTGAGGCCACTAGGAAGTCTCTCTGGGGCCAGAGCCCTGGTTTCCCAAGAGGATGCATCACCCCCAGCCCCCGGCGCTCCCAGCAGAAAGCAACTAGACGGGGTCTCCTGCTGTACTAATGTATTCCATCTTTCAAAAAGAAAGACATGATTTTAATATTACTTAACAATATGTTAAAAAAAGTAGCCAGGCAGGCCTCCGTGTTAATACGGTCGTACGCTCTAAACGGACTTGGCGGTGTGAGTGCTGGGTGGGTTTTGTCATCAACGTTCCATTCTCAGGGGTCTTACACAGGCTGGCTACGAGTCAGGGGCAAACACAAACGGCGCAACGTGTATACTCAGAAACAGTAGATTGTGGAGAACGGAGAGCCCTGCTTGCCCGGCTGCCACAGGTGGCACACAGGGCACACGGGAGCTGAGGGACGGCCACACCCGGTGGGACAGATGACAGGATGGGGCGAGATGCAGAGACGACAGGCCATGTGGGTGATTTGAACTCGTCTCTGACCACACCCAGGCCTCTGTGGCCATGGTGGTGGGAGGAGGTGAGGACTACTGTTCCGATCTGACAGCACAGAGCTACAGTCAGGGTGTCTCATTCACAGATTACACGCACAGGAGCTAACGACGTGGGCCAGCAGCGAGGGCCAGGCTGGGCTTGGGCCACGGGGTCTGCCCTGCTCGGCCCTGAGCAGGCACCACGGCGCAGGGCCTGCAACAGCTTGGCTCTCAGGTGATAGCCACTTCTTGTCCCTCTCCCAGTGGTCTCTGCTCAGTGGGCAGCAAAGGTGGCTTTCTTCAAACTGAAATTGGACCAGTTGATGGACAGTCTTTGCCGAGTCTGTCGAGCAGAGTCCAAGCAGAACCTGCAGAGACAAAACAGTAGAGTGACTGAAGGAGACAGGCATAGGAGGGCAGGGCTGGGCCAGGCTGATGGCTCCTGCTCAGGCCGGCTTGGTACGGGACATCTGGAGAGGGGACGGGTTCTGGTGCGGGGGGGCCACTGGGCGGCTGTGCCCTCTGCTACCACTGTCCAGCTTTTGCTCTTCGGGGCTGGGCTATGTGAGAAGTTGCCTGCTCAGTATGGAAGGGGGTACAGGTCTCTACCCTGCCACAGGCCCAGGGGAGGCGTGCTGCTGCCATGACCCCCCCCAACCCTATAGGCCACCACCTTAGCCTCTGCGTGCGGGGAATGGGAAGGGGGACTAGAGGTTGTGGCATCTCAGGCCAGTGGCACCATAGAAACTGTGGGACCCCAGGGCCCTACAACAGTCCACCAGACAGCTATTCCATGGCTGGGTAGGAGGGAGGCTGGGGCCACACACTGGGCCTGTAGGGGGCAGTCACCCCAGCTGGCCATAGAGTGGATATGCTCAGGGCAAGAGTAGCAGTCTGTCTCAGGCAGGTGCTAGATGGTATGGCTGGGTAACAACCTGAGCCTCACCTGCCTTGGGGCCACTGGGGCAGCACCCTCTTTCTGCAGTGGGCCAGTCAGTGCTAGACCTACAGACTGCTTTGACCATGATGCTGCACTAGTGACCACAGTGAGCTTGGCTGCAGGCAGCGACATCCCTGGTGTGCACAGCTGTCACATGTCACAATTCATTAATTTTTTTTTTTGCAGAGGTGGGGTTGAACCTAGGGCCTAGTATATCACAGGCAAGTGCTCTACCACTATGATACAATCTCAGCCCTTTATGATTTTGCTTTTATATTTGGGGGCAGGGTCTTGCTAACTTAAAACTTATGATCCTCCTGTCTTAGCTTCATGAAAAGCTGGGATTGCAGGCCTGCACCAGCACACCCAGCACAAGGTGCTCCTTTGTTTCTGAACTCTTTTAATGTAAGATTCTTTCGGGGTGTGCTGGGTCTGCCCATAGCTGGGACCACAAGCTCTGCACCATGGGTGCAAAGCTGAGGTTCTGGCCTGTGTTAACCTAACGAACAAACCCACAGTGGGCCGGGGATTTAGCTCAGTGGCATAAGTGCCTGCTTTGCAGTCGCAAGGTCGTGAGTTCAATCCCTGGTACCAAAAAAACAAAAACAAAAACAAAAAACCCACAGCAGGGTGTGGAAGGGCAGCTGTAACACCGAGGCAGAGTTCCAGCTTCTGCACTCTTCCCTTTGGAGTTCACCTCCCCTGCACCTGGAGGCCTCAGGTCATGGGGTACACCAGCATGGCCTGCTGCACATCTTTGGAAACAGACATACTTTGTCCTGTTTCCCAGGGCAACAATGGCCAATTTTTGTATTTAGCAAAGGAAAGAATGCTCTCTTTTGTTTGAGAGCACTTGCATAATTTCTGAAGTTCCTATCATTCCAGCTCTAATTTGGGGGTAGAAATCAGAGTGAAATCTGCAAACTGCTGCCTTCACTCATTGAACACATGAAGCCATGCTGGCCTATATGCAGTTCAGCTGTCCAGCCGCAACCCCTGTGCCCACCCAGTGCCCAAGGGCAGAGGCACCACGTCAGAATCCCATTCCCTTCCTTGATTCCAGCTGGGCATGTCCAGTCTGTGACATTACCTGCTCTACGCTCTCAGAGCTTGTCTCTGCCGCCCCCCAAACTGGCTGTGTTCCTGTGTGGGGCCAGCTGCCCACACCCCTCTCATGTCACATATAGACACACTGCTCAAAAACATCAACCATACCCTTGCTCAGGGCTGCTTACTGAGGATCTCCAAAGAGCCGCACATGCTGGTGCGCACCTGAGGTGGGAGGACTGTGAGTCTGAAGCCAATCTGAGCTTGTACAAGGCAAATCTGAATGCACAGCAAGACTCCGTCTCAAAAAACTGAAGAATAAACAAAAATCCAGTTCAAAGCACAGCAAGGCTTTCACCAAATGCTCAAGCACTGGAATGAGAACAGAGCTGCTCCCTTGACCTCAGGCCCAGAGAGATCTGTGCCACCCTGCTATGCTCTGCAGGAGGTGCCACTGTCTGGGCACACATTTGTGCTCCATGACCTCTGCACCATCCTACACAGCCTGGGGGTCTGCAGTGGAGCCTCCTGCATGTGAGTCTCCTCCCTCCCTGCTGCAGGCATGGCTGTCCTCCCCAGGGGCGGCTGTTCAGCTTAGGTGCTGTATGAAGACCCCGCAGGTCACACTCTGCTGTTCCTGGGCATCCCTGGAGAACGTGCTAAGGGGAGCCAGGGAGCTGCATGCTTCCCCAAGTGCTGCCTGCCCGGCTCTGCACACAGCAGGGCAAGGACTTCCAAAGCTCCACATCCCAGCAGGCAACAGAGCAGCTCATGGCTGCTTCCTATCATTCCTTGTTCAGACTGAGATGCCCGTCCTGTGCCTGCCTGTCACATTGCATGGAGGGACCCTGCAATTTCCAACTGGCTTTCCCATCCTCTCCTGTGATGCATATTCACACTTTTCAGTACTGATCCGTGTCATGTGCTGCAAATACACTTCAAGACCAATCCTTGGTCTTAAACTAATATACTTTTATCAGTCTTGGTTGACTGACAAGGTCTTGCTGTGTTGCCTAGCTGATCTCAAATTTCTGGGCTCAAGGGATCTTTCTCCCTCTGCCTCCTGGTACATGGAGGTACACAGAGGTGAACACTGATGAACTTGGCTCGTTTTTCCTTTTTTTTCAGTATGGGAATTACATCTAGGGCTTTCTACCATGACCTATGTCCTCAGACTCTTGCCTTTAAAAAATTTTTGAGACAGGGTCTTGGTAAATTGCTCAAAGAAGGGGACCTGGTGGTATACACCAGCAATCCTAGCCTTTGGCAGTCTGAAGCAGGAGGATCACTGTGAATCTGAGCCCTGCCTATACTACATAATGAGTCCTTGCCTTTTTTTTTTTTTTTGGTACCAAGAGTCAAACTCATGACCTTATGCTTGGCAGGCCCTTATGCCACTGAGCTATATACCCAGCCCATGAGTCCCTGTCTTGAAAAAACTAAAAACTCCAAACCAAACCAAAACACATTCATCTTGATCTCCTCTCAAATTAAGATCTCCTCTCTCAATTTTTGTTGTTGTTTTTGGCTGCTGTTGGGAGTGGAACCCAGGACATAGATGCTGTGCAAGCTCTAACACTCAGTTACACCCTGCGAAAAGTGCTTCTGACACTGCTTTGTGTCAGATGAACACATTCATCTTGATCTCCTCTCTCAATTTTTGTTGTTGTTTTTGGCTGCTGTTGGGAGTGGAACCCAGGACATAGATGCTGTGCAAGCTCTAACACTCAGTTACACCCTGCGAAAAGTGCTTCTGACACTGCTTTGTGTCAGATGAACACATTCATCTTGATCTCCTCTCTCAATTTTTGTTGTTGTTTTTGGCTGCTGTTGGGAGTGGAACCCAGGACATAGATGCTGTGCAAGCTCTAACACTCAGTTATACCCTGCCAAAAGTGCTTCTGACACTGCTTTGTTTATTTCATAGTTCTGGGCGCCAGAATGAGGTTCAGAGAAATGATTTGGCTCAGGTCATGCAATGTCAAGATAGACATCATATATGATTCTAAAGCCCACACGTTTTTCCAGAGGTCAGAATAAGCATTAACTCACAGACCTGCTGAGTAAAGTTAAATACCTCAAGTATGCTACATGGTTAGGCCGGTGTTGTCTTTGCAATTTTAAGAGATCTTTTCTTTTGCAATCACTAGCTACCACCCTTCAAGGTCTAAAGTCCATCTTCAGTTTCTTCCAAGTGGTCTGCCAGCTTTCAGTGGAGTTTTAAATTTCTGGGTATTTCTTTGAGTATTTCATGCATTCCAATTCTTCTCTGTATTGTTCATTCAGGGTTGCCCTCATTCTCCTATGTTGCTCCTTTTTAAAAAAAATCTGTGTTCTTTTTTTTGTTCCTTTTTATCGGTACTGTGGATCATACTCACGACTGCCTGCTTGCAAGGAAGGTGCTTATGCCGCTGAGCTAAATCCCCAGCCCCGAATCTATGTGTTCTTTAGGTATGCTCAGCAACCATTTCATTATGTTTGTCGTTTTTTTTCTTTTACCCAAGATATTATTCCTGATTTGATTTCTTTTATATCCTCATGCAGTAGTTTCTTTACGTCAGTTGCCATCATCCTGGAGATTTCAGGTGATTTCTGTTTTCTTTCATGTCTATGTCTTCTAGACTTAATTGTTTGGGCTGGAGGCCAGAGATGGCCTTTTGCTTCTACATCTTGAGTTTCTTGGGTTCCTCCAGACAAGAGAGTTTTGGGGGTCCCAGGTGCTTCTCGAGTTGGCTACCCATCCAAGGTATGAGGAGGATGGGTCAGGCACATCAGTTCCTCCTCATCTAGGTTCCCGGGGAGGTGGTGGGGTGTGGTGAGCTTCTCCAAGGTGTAGTGGGCTGCTCCTCCTGGCCTATGTTGGCTACAGGTCCCTGAAGGCAATAGTAGCTGGCAGACTTGTAGAGGCGGGGCTGGCTGTTGCTTCCCCCTGCCTATGCTGGTTACCCTAGTCTTTCGTGATGGGCTTATACAACTTTCGTTAGATTTATCGAAGGATACTGCAGAAATTTTGATGCTAATATAAATGCTGGCTTTATGTAAACTACAGTTTCTGGTTATAGATGTGTACAGAAAAACAAGTTCTGTACTGATCCTACATACTCAACCCTTGCTAGATACTCATTTATGTTTACTGTGCAGACAAAATCACTTTATCAGGTCAGGGTTTTTACTTAATTCTTCAATAGTGCAATTCTACTGCCAGTTAACCAATTTCCTTATCACAAGTTCCTTATCTTGTCCTGTTCTACAAACATTCAAGTTGTCAATATACAGATACAAACACATCTCCCACTGGGAACATTTGTAGATGTGAATGAATAGTAGAAGTACTGTCCCACCACTTCAAGGTGACTATAAAAGTAGTTTCTTTAGAGTGTTTGTGTGTGTTTGGTCTTCCATGCTTTACATTGTGTATTTGCATAAAAGGGGTTAAGACTCACAAGGTCAGAATTATGAACAAATCTGACTGATAAACATTCTGGTTCTGGATAGGAATTCATAAGTCAGGGACTTACTGTAATTGTATGTGGGTGCTAACATCTTACCAAATACTTTTTCAGAATCTTTTGATTCAGCATCAGTCTTTTGATTACATGGCTGTTCCTGAACATATATGGGTGGCTTTCTGATATTAAACATGACTCGCTCTGGGCATGGACCAGCCCAGTCACGTACACTGCTTCTGAAAACATGTTGCTGGACTGGCTACAGGAATTCTTTCTTTAGGCTTTTTGTGCTCAGTATTCACCAGAGGGACAACCTGCTATTTTTTTCTGATATTCTTTTTGGCATATTTTGGTACTGGCATTGTGCTAGCCTCATACAGTGAAGTGGGCACCCTCCCTTGCACAAGTGTTTGCTCTCTTGTCCTTAACTGCCTCAGTGGTTTGCTGAAGACCAGATAACCCACCATTCTAGGATAGTCAGGAAGAAGCCTTTGTCTTCCCAGGTAGACATGTGGTTGCCACCCACTGTGGTGGCTTTGGCTGCTTCTTGTCACCCAGCCTTGCTATTTTTCTCTTGTGTTAATTCTGTGTGTGACTACACTTACATCTTAAAATCAACTGCAGCGAAGCTATTTCCAGTGTTCTCTTAATCTCTGTGGTTTCTGTATTATTTCTTCCTTACAACTTGTATGTGGTACAACATTACAGAATATTAAAGAATGGAATTTTTCAAACACAAAAGTACAAACAGTAATTTCTTTGTCTTGAAAGAGGGTCTTATAACTTGCTAAGGTGCCCAGGTTCAGCTTGAACTTGCCATTGTGCTGCCTCAGCCTTCCAGAGTGCTGGGGTTACAGGTGTACACCACCAAGTCTGGCTTTGAGTTCATGAATTTTTAACCTTTACTTTGCTTCTTCTGTGCGTATTACTTTATAGCAAAAAAGGTAAAGTACTTCCAAAGAAAAAACAAAACAGCTGAAAGTACTTTTTTGTTGCCATGGTTCACACAGTGGATAAAATGTGACAGAAGACAGCATAAGCCTGCCATCAGGAAAGGTGAGCCAGCATCTACAGGGTTACTCTTGTCTCAAAGGCAGGCCATGCCTGTGTCCAAATGTCACATAGGAGGACAGTGTGAACAGCTTCTCCAGATCACCCTGCTGGTCTAGCCACGTGACAACCACTGCCAGCAATGGTTCCTGATGCATGTGGGGGCGGCAACACAAATGGATGTGTGTGTGCAATGCAGCTACACAGCCAGCTGGCTTGCTTACAGCACTTGTGCGGGACAGGAGGATCATGTAAAGAGAAAAGCAAGTGTGTGTGGCAACCACTGGCCAGGAGGGGCTCACACTCACTCACCTCTTGAAATACTCCACCTCCCTTTCTGTCTCGTCCATATCCACACTGTCCAGGTCGATATCTTTAGGCAGAAAGACATCATCTGAAAACAGAGACAGAGAGGCACCTAAAATACAACGGCAGCCATCTCATCCAAGCAGATCCCAGCATTTGGCTTTGAACAACTTCAACTTTTAGAACAATTTTCTGAAATGTAGAAGGCCAACGAGGGCAAAGCTCTTGTGTGCCCACTCAGGCTTGCTGAGCACAAAACTGCTTCAGGTCCTGTCGGCAGCACATAGGGCTTCCTGCAGCCACGTTTACCTTGAGCAGTCTTTCAATCACAGCTGGGCCATTAGCGTTCATTAGGACCCTCATCTCTGCAGGAGGGCAGGAAGAAACCCAGACACTAACCCGACAGGGAGGTGCTCTCCTGGGCACTCATCCTTACACACTTCATCCAAAGCCTCACAGGCCATTCTGAAAGAAAAGCACAGTGGTGGCTAGCTCCACAGTGAAAAGATCCCTTCAGAACACAGCAGGAGGGTGGAGACTCCAACTCCTGTGGTCCTGGCCAGGTCTGAGCATGTACACTTTTCTCTGTGGCTCTGCCCAGCACTCTGATCTGCTTAGGCTCAGGCCCAGAATGCACATCTGGGCAGGCAGCTGTGGTGCTGGCTCCATCAGCATGGAGTAGGCAGAGGCCTCCCACGTTTTTGTTATCGGTGGGCATTTGCTCTGCAGACCTACACTTAGAGCCTGCTTCTTCCAGCCCCTGGGCATCTCCGCAGAGCAGAGCAGTGAAGGTCCCTGTGTGCCTAATGGCAGCTGCCACAGTTGTGATTTCCACAGCGAGGGCCCTCCTCACCCAGCTCACACATGGCACCTGAGCGCTGTTCTTCACATGTTTGCATGACTCCCACGAGCACCTTGCTCCTGATGTGTGTCTTCTTCTACCCCTGCGGGCTTCCACAGTCACTCAGGAGCCATTCAACAGCCAGCCACCAACCTGCCCGACCTCCTTAAGCACCACCTCCATCAAGCTGCTTCCTTCTGCACATCCTTCTTTCAGGCATCAGACTCCAGCAGGGCCAGCACTGGGCCCTGGACAATCTGTTGCAAGCCTGTTCCTTCCCATGGGCCAGCACCTCAGCACCCATGCCTTCTGCCTGGCCTCAATGCAGCTCTGCCTGATCAGCTCCCACAGCAGAGTCCTCACGAGAGGCTCCTAGACCTGAGGCTTGCCTTCCTGGCTGCCTGAGCCCCATACTGGCTCGCAGCATCCCTGCTGCAGTCTCCTGCAGGGACTTACAAGCCCAAAGAGCCCTGTGATCACTGCCAGCTGACAGGGACCTCACACCGGCACTTGGCATTTTCACTCTCCCAAGGCTATGAGCTCTCAGAAGGCTGACAAAACAACCGCCACATTAGCTGTGCCAGAGTGTGCAGAAATGATGGAAAGGGAAAACAGGAAGAGGAGGACAGGAAGGGCTAAAGAGAAAGGGCACACTGGGCCTGCTGACTGCTGAGACTGGGAGAGGGCACACCAGGAGGCAGGTACAAGAGAGGCACCAGAGCATGAGACTTTCTTCCCAGGGATGCAGTGCTGGAAGGTGGGGCGTTCTGTGTCATGGGGTCAAGGAAGATGTCCTTGCTGTCTTGCTGACTCATTGGACTGGGTCACTCGCTATCCTGGAGCCTGTCCCTCCTCTTTTTCTACTGCCTGCCACTTAACCTGGCCATATGTGGCTGCCAGATGCTGGACCACATAGTCCTACAACTATGAGCCAAAATAAACCCCATTTCCAAATATGTGACTCAATCTCAAGAGTTGTGGAAGTGGCAGACAACAGATCAAGACAAATATACTAGTACAAAACCATAAAAATGTTTTCTCATGCCAAATTAAAAAAAAAAAGAGCCACATCACAGCACAAAAAAAAAAAAAAAAAAAAAAAAGTAGCAGTGTACATGAAACTGGGTTAACTATAGCCAGGGATAGGTCAGAGAGCAGCTATATATATATAGTCCCAGTGCTGACTGCGTATGCTCTTAAACAGACTCTCAACCTGGTTCACAAAGCTGCTCAGCTCTGCTGCCTCCAGGAGGAATTCCTGGACGGCCAGAAAGCTGTCCGCAGCGACAAAGCTGTCCGCAGGCAGGTGGGAGCCAAGAGGAGGAGGGACAACAACTGCAATCTGCAGTAGAACTCAAGTCGAAGTCTGTCCCCACCGACTTCACGTGACAAGTGCTACTGTGGACTAAGAATGCCAGAGTGTGCTTCACGCTGCAGACACCCAGTGCCGCAGGAAGCCTGGGAATCTGAATACCAAGCAGCAAGGCAGCCTTGAGAACAAAGAGGACAAGCAGAGCAACTGACAATCACATGACCGGCACAGTTACCCTAGCTGTCACCCAGAGGCCATGTGTTTGATCCCCAGCTGATAGGGCTTCTGGAGGCAGTGGCACCTTTAGGAGGTACAGGGGTTTGCCCTAAAGGGACAGTGGGACTCTGCCCCCTTGCCTGTCCTGTGCCTCCTGCCTACCACAAGGTGTGGTGACATGCTGCCTTGCCCCACAGACCAGCACGGGGGCTATGGGAAGGGGACAGAAATGCCCACAACTGAGCAGAACCTTTTCTCTCTACAAGTCCATGGCTTAGGTGTTGTTTACAATGAAAAACTAATTTGGAGTCACAAAAACAGTAACAGCAAATTTAATGAAGCTGACATAAACAATAGTCTGACTGCAATGCATACAACCTGTAACAACAACAAAAAGGCCCTCCCTCAGCCAGCACACTCAGAAGATGCCAATCACACTTGGGCGGAAGGCGAAATCCATGCAGGAATTATGGGTTTTTTTAAAAGAAAACAAAAAACTAATAGGGAAATTATCTGTAAGACTATGCTATACATTTAAAGCAATGAATACAGGAAAGATCCAAGTGCTACAACACTTCTTCTACTAATAAAAATAGGGAAATGAAAACAAACTAAATTTCTAAGTCAAAAAGTTAGAAAAACAAGGAAGACAAACGAAGTACATACAGAAAATAAAGATAAAAGCATAATTTAGTGGAGTATGGGGGGAACTCATTAATAAAGCTTTTGATTAAAAGAAAACTAACAAACCAGAAAAATCACTAACAGGCAAAATAAGAAAGCGTGAATATACAAAATAAGAAAACACAAGGGGAAATATCATTGAAAAGAAATTTAAAATAAAATACGAGTTTACTCTATGCACATAAATTTGGTATCTATGCACATACATTTTAAAATTCAATCACAAAGGAAAATTTACTATGGAAGGTTTTCCAAAACTAACCTCCTTATATATAGAAATATTAAGCCACTTTCCAGGAGGAATCAGTAACTGCTATTAAGGAACTATCTCGCTAAAGCACAGGCCCGGACAGCTGTATAGGGCTGATAAAATTCTATCAAACTTCCAAGCCTAGACAGACTCAGCACAGCATGAGTTGTTTCAGAATATGGAAAATTTTCATTTTCATAAAGCCAAAAAATTTGTTTTTATGAAGCAGATCACTGTAAAAATATTACAACGTTAAATAAAGTTGACAGCAAACAGAACCCAAAACCAAAGGATATAATTTATCGCAATCAAGTGTGCTTCATTAGAATCCAAGGTTGGTTCAGTGTTAGGTAACTGAATGACCTAATGCACCACAGAAACAGAAATAAGAAGTGAGAAGAAAAATCACGGCTATTTTCACAAATGCTAGAAAACCATCACTAAAATTCAATACTTATTCCTTATAAACACAATGAGGAAATGTTCCCTAAAATAAACCTTAGCTCTCTGGCTAGCACCTCTCTCAAGGTACAAACACCAGAAACATTAAGGAAGTTACGAGAAAACGTTCCTCAGGGGCATGAGAACTAGAAAAGCACAAGTAAAGCTTTCTGTTTGCAGGTCTATCATACACCTGGAAATATCCAGAGAGGCAACAGTAAGATACTAACAAAAGAATGCAGTACAGAGAAGAGAGACAGTTATTACACAGAATCAGTACTTTTCATATGTACCTCAAATAAGTGCTGTTAGGCAACACTACCCAAAAGAAATACCATTCCATTTACATGTGCATTTTAAGATATTTTAGTGGTCACATTAAAAAAAATTAAAAACAGGTGAAACTGATTTTAGTAATCATGTAGTAAGATATATAAAATATTATAACATATGACTAGTACAAAATTATATTCATTCCTTTTATACTAGGCTTTTTTTTTTTTTTTTTTTTTTTGGTCTTTTTCCTTTTTACCGGTACCAGGGATCGAACCCAGGACTGCCTGCTTGCAAGGCAGGCGCTTATGCCGCTGAGCTAAATCCCCAGCCCTATACTAGGCTTTTAAAATCCAGTGTGGGGCTGGGGAGTTCAGCAGCACAGCGCCTGCCTGGCAAGCACGAGGTCGTGAGTTGAATGAAGCCCGGTACCAAAAGAAAACAAATCTAGTGTATACCTTATACTTCTACCTCTCAGTCTGGACAAGCCACATTTAAGTGCTTCTTGGTGACACCTGACTAGTGCGGAGGACAGTGTGGGTAGGCAATACAATGGTAGAGAATACTCTAAGCTAAAAACAAAGGTGGTTACTTAGGAATAAATGTAGTAAGAAACATGAAAAACTGATGGGAAACAATAAAACATTTCTAAAAGACTAAAAAGTAGGCAGTTTAGTGGTTAAGCTTGAGTGTCTTATTCATGTCATGTAACACTGTATTCTCCAGGTACATCTGTGTTCCTACTCAGCTGGAAAAAAGAGAAGCAAGATCACTATCAATCAGTCTGGAGCACTTTACAGAGTAAATCGGAAAAAATAGGTGAAAAGACTACCTGTGGTACGGTAGTTTTTGTGTAAAATTAAAGGCAAGAAAGTTCTCACTTTGCTACCATGGTAAGGGCAGGCAACCCTGAAACCACTGTGCGCAGGCTCCAGGACTGAACATGCTGTGGCAGCGGGTCTGGGTTTTCACTGCAATGTGGCGGGCAAGTGAAGAATGTACCCTGTGAGATCTGAATCATCTGTAGGAACACAAATGCACCTTGGAGACCACAATGTTACCACAATGTTACATGACATGAACCAGACACTCAAGCTTAACCACTAAACTGCTTACTCTGAGTGCTACTCAGCCAGGGGTCATTCGATTCTTGTTTGTATGAGAAATAAAAAGAAGTCCAATAGTGCTCTATGATAATAATAATAATTGTATGGGTGGTACTGACAGAGCTGAACAACACCTAATATGTTATTCTGTAATCAAAGTGAAAAAAATTTTATTATAAAGTATTTATGCACCTGCTAGACCAAACAATATAGATCATGTTTGTTATTAATTCAAATTTGGAAGTGAAGGGAAGAGGGTTCAAAAAGCCATTTACAATTCAGATTAGATCTAACAAACTTAACAACTGAAAAATATGAGATAGGACCAATGATATAGCTCAGTAGCACTGTGCCTGCGTGGCAAGCACGAGATACTGAGTTCAATTCCTGGTACCAATAGAAAAAGAAAAGAAAGAACAAACAAATAAAAAGTCCTATGGGATAGCAAAACACCAACAGGGACGTCTATCACTGATACCCTTCACCATTAGTGAGTCGATGTTTTATAGGGGTATCACCCACAAAAAAAAAGGAAAGACCAACACAACAGTGTGAAGTATTGTTTAAAAATAATAATGCAAAAAGAACTCAGAAAAGAGTAGATACTGTCCAGATTGTAACAAATGTTTTAAGATATGCCATACACAGAAAAATTATTGAATAAATTTGATAAACCTGTCTTTGTATTTCCTATTATAAAACCTAACCAAAATATCCATTTTGGTCACCCTGTATTGAAAGAATTGGGCTGGTAAGTGGTTAAATACTGCATGGTTTCTCTTACATGAGAAATCCAACATATAAATAAAGACCAAAATAAAAGCCAGGTAACAGGGAATGGCAAGATACATCTTTTAGCATATGGAAGTGAAGCAAGAAATGGAGGGGACGGGAAAGGAAATGATGTAAAGGAGAGGGTAATGATGTGTTTGGTACATGAACCCAGAACCTAGGAGAAACCCGATCATTATGTACTATAAACTTATGTACCAAAAAATTACATATACAAATGGGGCCCAAGAGTAGAGGAAAAAGGAGGTTAAGTGAAGGGAAGGGGATAAAAAGATAGTTTATGTGTTACATACCAACTCACCTTGATGAATGTGATCATTATGTACTACGAACATTTACCAATTTAAAAAGTGCACACTGACTGGTAATCTTGACAGGATTAAGAAATGCCTTGCAGATTAGTCGGGGATGCACTTGAGGAGTCTCAGGGAGTTATGTAGGAGTCACCTTCGAGTTTCTACCTGGTCCCTCACACAGTCCTCTCTGGCACTGTTGCACTTCTCTGCTCTCCAGCTGCCATGAACTAAGCAGCCCTGCTGCATCATGCCCTGACACCATCACGTTCCTGCCTTGGAGTCGGCTAAGGACTAAATCCCTTCTACCCTTGAACTAAATTAAACCTCTCCTCCTTTAAGTTGTCTTAGGTATTGTGCCTACTCAACAGGAAAGCTGACTGATATAAAACTGGTAGCAAGACAAATAGTGCTGTTGCTATGACTGTACCTGATCATGCAATTTAAAGGCTTTGAAACTGGTTTGCAGGAAGCATTTGAAAGGTTTGAGGATGCTGACTGGAGAACCCTTAGAATGCTGTCAGCAGGGCTTTACATGTGGTTCTGGTTCAAACTCAGAAGACCAGAATGCTGATAGGAGTGCCAATAGTAAAGGCCACAGGCTCAGGAGACTCCAGCTGAAATCAAGAACTGCACTAAGCATTTGTACTAGAAGCCAGGTGGATTAGCCTTAGGCAGAAAATTTGTTTACACTGTGCCCGGATTCTGAGACTCTGTGAGAAGCTGAGATTAACAGTTGCAGACTAATTTAAACTGGCAGAGGAAATTTCAGTACAGCCCAATATTCAGACTGTGGCATAAATACTGTTGGCTGCTTTCAGCTAGATTTACAGTGAAAACTGTAGGCAAAAGTCAGAGGAGAAATACTTGAAAAAACTGGTCCTATAGGAATTGTGTTTAAAATTGGGGACAAAGGAGGTATGGCTGGCAAAGAGTGGCACTATTAAAAACCAAGTACTTTGTACAGGGCCTATCAGCAAGACTCCATCCACTTCAGACTCAAGAGTCTTTGAGATCCCTGCTCAAGAAGGGCCTCTTGGAGAACTGGTTCCCTGGGATTCATTTCAAAATAGCACTTGCTATTATCTTTATTTGAAGATTATGGCTTGAGGAGATGTGTTTAGGTGTATAGTTGACTAGGGATGGATTGTGACAGTTAATTCTGACATGCCAACTTCACAGGATTAAGAAATGCTTTGCAGATTAGCAAAGCACACCCCTGGGTGTGTCTGGGTGGGTCACAGAGGTATGACCTCGGGGACTTATATTTGATCCCTGGTTCCTTCTCTCTGGTGCTGTTCTGTCACTCTGCTCCCCTGCCTCCATGAACTAAGCAGCTTTGCTCTACCATGATATTCCTGTCCTGCAGCGAGCCAACCATGGACTGAATCTCAAAATCATGAGCTAAATTAAGCCTTCCTCCTTCAAGCCGTTTCTCTGGGTGTTGTGTCCAGCAACAGGAAAGCTGATGCATACACACAACACTTTGGCAATAGATGGACTGGATAATTTGCAAGTCACGGTTTATAATGTAGACATTAAGATTCACTAATTAGCAAAGGGAAAATGTTAACTTGATTGTGGAGACTGGGCAGACACCATCTCAACTCTGCATCACCATTAATCACCAGTGATGGGAGGGACAGTACAGTTGGCAACTGCATGGCTACCAGTTTCCTATTTGTGGATTCAACCAACCATGGATTAAAAATATTCAGAAAAAAATTGTGTTTGTATAGCTTTCTGACAAGTCTAAAACTATTTCAAAATAACACTACAAAACAACCATGACTGTGTCTCTTGCTGCTGATGAAAAAATATGATGAGCACACAGTGAGGGACAGATAAGCAACACCCCGGTGCAGTAGGGGATGGTATGGACAGCCACGCCACTACAACTCATACAGAACACTCAATAGCCAGAAGCTTGAAACACCTATATTTACCAATTGAACTGCTGGCTCGGTCTCCTTTCTTCTTCTTGCTTTTCTTGCTCTTGCCCTTTGGCTGGGGAGAGTCAGCCAGTATCAGCCGGCCATTCTGTGGATGCTGGTTGGGAGAAGGAGGCTCAGGAGGGACTGAGGTTGACTTTTCCTCCTTGATGTGGTTCAGCTGCTTTTTGTTATTGTTGTTACTATTGGCTTTTCTTTCCTCTCTTTTCTGCTCTGTGAGAGAAGTGAGCTCAACCACCTTAGTTTTTGGCTCTATCTGGGCCCGTGGCTTAGGCACCCCGTCAGGCACTCTGGGGGGCTCTATAGGTTTCCTTGTTGCTTCACTGTTGGTCTTAGTGGTCTGCTTTAGCTTCTGTTTGCCATTTCCCTCTTTATGGTGATGCATCATGTCGAAGAGAAAAGCAAGCGGTTCATGCTGCTTCCCATTGACCTCTTTGGGGAGGAGAAGCTTGGAGTCTCTGGCATTCAGAACAGGATCTATAGTGTCCCCGTCGGCTCCCAGGCCTGGCCTGGGCTCTGAGTGATTTGTGTATCTAGAAGGGGAGTGAGATGAGGTTTCTGGTTCTTCAGTCTGCTCTACTGAGCCATTGTGGATGCTTTCAGAGTTAGTGACAGACTCTGTCACTGCCTGAAAATTCCTAGCCAGCATGTCCAATTTGGGACAGTCTTTGCTTGGCCTCTCTTTCTTCTTCTTTTTCACAGCTCTTAACTTCTGCAGCTCCTGAAGCCGCTGGAATTCCTCCTTGAAACGCTGTTCCTCATCTTCCTCTTCCTCATCTTCGTCCTCTTCCCGCCGCTGCTGCTCCTCCTGGAGGTGCAGGTGCTCCCGCGCCCTGGCCTCAGCTTCTAGGCGTGCCTTCTCCTCCAGCTGCCAATGCGGAAAGAGAAGGTGGCTTAAGACCACAGTAAAAATTCCAGGGATTGAGACATACAAAAACCTAACGTAATTTAAAAAGTGAATCACATGACCAGGTATCAACTATGAAGGGGGCAATAAGAAGTCACAACTTAAAACACACCTACCTCTCATTATGTTACCCTAAGGATTCATCTAATTTTTACTTACCTACCAAGAAATATGCTTTCTTTACTGGGGGACAGGCTAATATAAAGTGCCATAAAAAAGTATGGGCACTTAGAACAAGGTCAAAGCAGCTGCTGTCCTACATCCAGAAAGCTGCCTTCTTGATGTGTGTCAGGAAATTGTTTTTGACTGGTTTGATGTGGTGACTCTGAGGCCACAAATGATACCTGTGATAGCCGAGCTGCACTTACCTCATCAACAGGCCATTGCAAAATGTGGCCCAAAAACTAGGTACCTCTCCCCACCCTCACAGACAGACAGAAGTCCCCACATATCTTCACTAGTGTGACAGAGCAAATGACTTCAGAAACAGCCAACACCAAACAGCATGTAAGAGACATCACTTTCTCTTAGTGGTCTACCTTGGGAAGAAACTAATTTCATTCCAAGTGAAGACTGCATTTTACTGCTGATGTATATCACAAGACTGTAAATGGAAAGTATTCCTTTTGTTTAGAAATAAAGCCACTGACTGAGGATTTAGCTCAGCAATGTAAGTAGCTGCCTAGCAAGCGTGAGGTTGTGAGTTCAATCCCCAGTATCAAAAAAAAAAAAAAAAAAAAAAAAAGAAAAAGAAATAAAGCCATTAAGAGTAAGGAGCAGTCAGGCATGGTGAGGCACATCTGTAATCCTAACACTTGAGAGGCTGAGGCAGGAAGATTGAAGATTTGGGCTACACAGTGAGTTTGAGAGCATTCTGGGTTACACAGTCATCGAAAGGCCCTGCTTCAACATTCAACACACAACACACAACACACACATACACACTCACACACAGCGAAAAGCATGACTTCTTTTATTATTAAACTCAAAAAAAGCTATTGCTTGGGAGAAACTTTGACAAAAACACTACCTTAAAACAGAACAAAAAGCACGCAAGGTCATGAGTCAATCTCCAGTACCAAAAAAGGTCCAAAACAAAATGGCCTAGTCCAAGTTTAAATTTTCATTATGAATGTGTTATTAGACATCTTACCACACATGTATACAGAAGTAGAGATTGAGAGTGAGAGACAAAGAGCATTTTGGTAAGTTGCCCAGGCTGGCTTCAAACTTGTGATCTTTCTACCTACACACCCTGAGTAGCTGGCACTACATATGTGTGCCACCATGCCCAGCTAGTTTTTAAAATATATAGAATATTTAAACAAAAAATTTAAAATATTTAAACAAAAAAATTATGGCTAAAACTTAATAATGATGTTTCTGGTAGTGACTGCAGGGCCCTGTGCATGCTAGGCAAACACTTTATCACTGAGCTACAACCTAGCCCCTACAATGGCAGGCTTTTAAAATTACTTGATGACTGAAGTAGAAATTATTTAAAAGCCTTGCTCTGTATGATAAAGATAAACCTTCTCCTGAGGATTCAGGGTCTGCCCATTGCCCACCATTGGATGTAGAGCTGCATCCCAGGGCTGGCTATGTGTCCACGCAGACTGGCTGGTGTCCTCTCTGCAAGGATTCCATGGGCTCCCCTGCATGCTGCTCTAGTACCTCATTGCTGCTGGGCCAGCAGCCACGCCCTTGAGTGAGGCTACATGAGTCTGTCCACAGGTGGACTATGCCTGGGGGTCAGGCCACAGCCCATGATGTGAGGGCCACCTAAGGAAGCAGGCTGGGCAGACAGCAGTGACAGGAAGTCATTCAAAGGAGACTGAGTATTCAGCTCAGCCTACAGCACCAGCTTCCCAACAAGGCTGCTTAAGTGACTCTTTGCCCTTGGTGACAATGTTACACACTAGCCTTATCTGAAATGCCCAATGCACCAAAAACAAAAGGGGCATGGGTGGTGGCTGCTGAGCCTGTGCCAAGAGGCTTTGCTGGGCCCTAGTCTTGATCCACAGCAAAGGCACCTTCACACCCTGTGGCTGAGGTGCAATCCCATTCTGTCCTATGGTCCTCCCTGTCAGAGACTCTACCACCCCACAACTGCCAGCACAGGCCCTGAGGGTGTTCTGGAAATTCAAACAAAGTGAGGTTTAAAACCCGCTTTCAGGTCAGGTGACCAGTCATCCAGGCAGCAGTTACCTGCTGCCCAGGTCTCATGTCCTGAGAACAACTTGCTGCTAAACTCATGCAGCACCCACAGAGCTACCACTCACCTTTCTTTGCTTGTGCCTGGCTCGCTTGGCTGCCCGCGTGCTGCTTACGGGCTTGGTTTCTGAGCTATTTATAAACTGCAACAAATCCTCTACCCTTCGATGGTCAACGATACTTTCCCGTTCTGAGATCTGATCCATTTTTTTAGGTTGCTCTTCTTTCCTCTTGGTCAGCCGTAAACGAAGTTTCTCCCTCATTTCTGCATAGTTTCTACTGGTTGGTGCAGCTGGAGGCTAAAACAAGTAAGAACACAACTAAATCAAGGTACAGATGTGAATGTAACACATTATGGAACATCCCTCTAAAACTATCCTGTTATTAAAAATTACTTAAAATATACTTGGCTCATCATGAAAAGCAACAAGATAAATAAATGGCACAAAACAGAAAAACCCATCTCTGTGTTACTTAAAAGTTGCATTTTGGCACCTACCTCTCTGAGGTTTTATGTATTTATGAAAATCTGGAAAGACAAATATAAATGCATTTTTTAAACTGGAAAGAGGCACTTACATACACTCCTTCACATCTTTATGTTTAGTATGTTTACCCTTTCATGTCAATGACCCTGTCTAGAGGGCCAGCGATATAGCTTAGTAGCACAAGTGCCTTCCTGGGCAAACACAAAGTCCCGAGTTTGATTCCTGGTACAAAAAGAAAAAAGAAAAAAAAAAAAAAAAAAGAACCCCCCCACCCCCTAAAACCAAAAAACCCCCACAAAACCCAAAAAACCAAAACCCAAGAAGCTTGTCTACAGTTATTCCAATCATTTAGAAGCTTCCTTTTCAGTGCTTCACTGCTCCCAGGCCTGTTACACTCTCTTTTGTTTTCTGGGCTTTTTTTGAGACAAGATCTCACTACATTGTCCAGTCTGGTCTTGAACTCACAAGGATTCTCTTGAGTGCTTGAAGTATTGCAGTGTATAGCCGTGCATGGTTTGTTATCACATTGTTTATTACTAAAACCATGTGCATGCTTTAGGAAATGTAGACTAATCTGAAGCAGGAAATAAAGACCAGCATGCCCTACATTTCCTACTAACAATTTATTACATCTCATATCTAGGTGTCCCTCACAAAGCCTCATGTGATCACAGGTGGGGCTTCCCGAGGCAGCTAGATCACGGGTGTGTGACACTCGGATTGAGGGTGCCCAACCCTGGGGGTGGGCAGCCTGGATGGTGTATGGGGTCAGAAGAAAGGCTGCTGCTGCTGCTTGCTCTGCGCCAGGCCACCTCACCTTAGAGCCAGCCAAGTATGGACTGAGACTGCTACAAACAGTGAGCCAAAAAATAAACCTCTTCTCCTGTAGCTCTGGGTATTAGCGATTTTGTCTCACAAGAAAAAAGTAACTAAGAGGGTGGTATTTGCCTGCTGAAATAGTAACTGCTGTGGAAAGATGGAAAGCAGTCGATGTATCAACACCTTTCATATCCAGTCAATGAGAAGACTCAAATGTGCAAACAGCACTGCTCTAAATGGCCACACAGTATCCATGGAATGTAGTTTTTAGTAAGTGCTTCTACTTCATTGACTATTTAAAAAAAATCACAAACAAGTATGAAAATGTGGTGATGAAATGTTTAACATACAAGCTAGATGTGGAACTGCTACTTCTGAGTGTAACCTGGCTTGGTGCTGGGCCGGACGATTCCCGAGCAGCCGTGGACACCCACACCACTTACCCCTCCGTGCCCGAAGAATTCGCAGTAGCAGCAGTCACAGTACTTGCCCTCCTTCTGGTTGGTGGAGGTTGAGGTGCTGGAGCTGTGCTCAGAGCAGCTGTCCTCATCGGCACTCTCATCCCCATCGTCCTGCTGTGGGTCATACACGCCATTCTCGCAGCGGTGCCCCTCACAGTCAGGGTCACTACAAAGCCACACACAGCTGTCAGCAGTTGCCTGCCCAGGAGGCTCAAACTCCGCAGTATTCCTGACCACTTCGTAGAGCAGCCACATGTGGCTCCAAGTCCACATGGTCAGCAGGGATGGCTGGCACACATGCACAGCGGTCATGTAGGCGCTCAGAAAGCATCCCTGAGCAAGTACACAGGCTCCCCACATGTCTTCTCTGTTTGCATTGCCTGCCCCTACTTCTGAGGAGGCAGGACGGTTCCACATGGGCAAATTCAAGATAGTAAGAATGGCACACCTGTAATCCCCCAGTACTCAGGAAGCTAAGGCAGGAAAACTGCCATAAGTTCAAGGCCAGCTGAGGCTATACAGTGAGCTCAAGGACAGCCCGAACTTAGAAAAACCTGCTGACAGTGGTTTTTGCTCCACTCTACCGTTTATTCATCTTCAAATACTGCCCAATGGAGAACAAGTTAAAAATAAGGTGCACCCTCACATTGCCAATGGTCAGATATAGCCTTGACCCCTGAAGGGCTGTGGCTGCTGGGCCTCTACTAGTTCCTGGGCAGCACTGGCAGTAGCCCCAGTGGACAGAGTCCTGAGGTGCAGCACTGAGTGCACAGCCTTGCCAGCCCGCCCCTGGATCCTGGGTGCCTCACCTGCAGACGCTGGGTGGGGCGCTGATGGAGCCGTCTGTGGTGGAGGATGGCGGGGCCACAGGGGCAGGACAGAAGCTCTTGCGTGTGTCTGCAAAGCTGGGAGCTGTGGTTGCAGTTTTGGGGAAAGTTGGGGCTGTAAGATTTGCAAGGTGAGGCGTGGAGGCTGGAGAGAGCGCAGCAGGAGAGAGGGTGGGGAGCGGGGCTGGGCCCGTGGGGCTGTTCCTGGGAGCAGCAGGTGCAGAGTGCCTGTGGTCCTCCTTGTTGATGCTGTGAAAGACGTCACCTGTGCAGAGACATGAGCGACACTGCCATGGCTGAGAGAAAGACTCTCCTATTTCCTTTCATTACATTTTCCCCAACATTTTGTTGTGAAAATGATATTCAGACCTAATGCCCTTGCTGATCTGTCATGATTAATGTCTTACTGTGCACACAGGTGTGCATATACTTTGGCCTCCCATCTGAGGAAGCTGTATTCACCTGAGCCCAGCTCTGCTGCTGAGACCTGGGTGGCCTTCTGGGCTGTGCTCTCCAGCCAACAGGCTGCCCACTTCCCAAAGCCTTCACAACTCCTGCTAATCTAGCCTCTTCTTTTCTCCTTTCGTAAGATGGACAATTTTTAACAGGTTCATTGTGCACCAATCTGGATTTGTCTTGTTTCACTGGATTTGGATGAATCGTTGTGGGTCTGACTCCGGAAAGAGTGGGTGTGAGCCTTCCTCACCACGTGATGTCATCAGGAAGCACTGGACATCTTTTGTGTGGCACTGCTATGAAGCACAGGGTTGCCAGCTTCCCTCTGTCCCATGCCAGTCTTATGGTGCTGCCTTTGGACAGTGGAAATGTCATGCTTCCCAGGCTCAATGGTTTTCTCTTTTGTCTTCTTTCTTTTTGGGGTGTTAGGGATGGACCCCGGGAACCTAAATGCTAGGCATGCACTCACCACTGAGCCACAGAGCTACCTGCCAGCCCAAAGTACAGTGTTTTCAACACCCCCCTCCCCCAATTCGGCTGACCTGAAGAGCTACTGTGCTGCTGGCTGCAGAGTGGTAACTTTCTGTCCTCAGCACACACCAAGTAGTGGTGTGATCTGTGAAAAAGAGCTTCTTCACCCACAGAGGTCATCTGAACATCTGCACAGATTCCTGACTTTCTCTGAGCACCAGAATCTATCACATCAACATTGGCCCTGCAATAAGGTGGTCTACAACTATTCTTTCTGATGGTCAAACTGCACCGACTTTGGCAGGTAGGGACCCCTCCAGCCACCTCCCCTGTCCTTTAGCATCACTCTGGGGCTCCTAGTGCCTCTGCTTTCAGGCCCCTCTCACTGTTAGTAAACTGATCAATGTTTGAGTGACAGGTTGGCTGATAGGCAGTCTTTGGCTCAGGGCTTTCCTAAAGCAGCTCTGGGGAACCCGCCATGCACTTAGACAGCAAGGGCCTCTTCATACCTCAGGATTGGGAGTGTGGAAAAAGGAGATGAGTGAGTGCTGCAGAGCCAGAGCCAGGCACTTAGGGTGACAGCTAAGCTCTGATCAGGAGCACCTGCAGCTCTGACTACTTGTGTGGCTCCGGCACGGCAACGACAGTGACACACAGGAGAGAAAGGACGCAAGCCCAGTGGCTGCAAGGGTCTGGGCTGGGGGCCATACCTATTGAAGGAGGTCTGTTAGATGACACTTTGAACTCTTACCTATCGAAGGAGGTCTCTTGGACGACACTTTGAACTGGCTGTTGCTTGACTGCACTGTGGTGGCCGTGCAGGACACAGAAGATGTGGCAGAGGAGGTGGCCATGACAACTTTGTTTGCTTCCATAAAAGCATCTTGGAAATTGTACAAACACTTCTTTTTTGCAGCATTTTTTTTTTCTTTATTATCCAAAGCTATGGATGCTTCACTGCTTGGCGGAGGTGGAAGAGCTTCAGGTCTTGTTTCTGAGAGTGCTGGTCCTAATATATCACTTCCTTCAGAGAAGAACAGGAAAATTAGAGTTTCTAAAACAGCTTATAGCGAAACCCTGCAGGGCAGGCTAAGGACTGAACATGGGGCTGCCACTGAGTCAGGACTCCTCTGGGATGATGCCGGAGAACCAGTCTTTACTCTAAGGGGGAAAATTTATTGAGCATCTACTATGTGCCAATCCCTGTGCCAGGTGCTTTACAAAGTTACTTAACATCTCAAAACTACTTTCTGAGTTTGGTTCTATTATTCCCATCCTAAAGATGAAGAAACTGAGGCTTAGAGAGGCTAAGCAACTTGCCCAAAGTCACACAGCTAGAAATCCTTTCCAAGCACGTTATCAGGATGTCAAGTCTAGCTTCTGTTCTGAGCGCATGCGGGGTGGGGGTGGGAGGCAAGGGGCTAAAGCAGCTTGAGCTACATGAAGACAGAGGTACCAGCCCCTCCTCAGGTGCTTGGCCCTGTGGTGGAAGTTACAGCTGAGCCTCAGCAGCTGAGGCAGGTGGGGAGGAAGCAGCTTGTTAGAGGGGAGAGATCCCATTTGGGTCAATATAGAAACCAGAGAGAGGAATGGAGTCACTGTGCTCCAGTGAGCTGTGGCACTTCCCCTTTCCCTGTGCTCTGGGCAGAGGTATGGCTGGTACCAGAGCCTGAAAACTAACAGCTAGGAACAAGCCCCGGAGTGGCTCACTGTGCTGATAAGCAGCTGGAGTCCAGCTCAGCAGAGTGGGACAAAGCTCTGTGTGGTCAGTGCGGGGGGCCTGAATGCCCAGTGTGAAGGCATGGAGTGGGGGATAGGCCCTCAGGGGCCTCCTGCTGCAGGTGGAGGGCTGGGGGCAGCAGGTGTCCTGCTGCATTTGGGATCTCACAGGAGACTATACCAAGCTACTGGGCTCAGGTCATTTTAAAATCTTAAGAAAGTTTTAACAAATTCCTTACCAGAAATTGTATCTGGCAAGAAAGTGCCAGGATTCCAGTTCTTATCATTCATCACTTCTGATCCCCAAAGACTTAGAAATTTAGAACTATTCCACTCTGGAGTATTCCCAAAACAGCTCGGATAAATATGGTCTTGAAGAGATGCATTGAATACCTGATGCTTATTTGTGTGATTCTGAACAGGTGCTGGCGGTAAAGCCTACAAAAAAAAATTTTCTAATCACATATCAAAATTAATATTCTGCTTACCTAAGTAGTTCATCTATAAACAGATAACTATGACTGTAACCTTGTGGGATGTGCCCCCATGAGCTGGTGCCCACTGGCAAGTACCTCTCACAAAGCCCCATGCAGCTTGTTTATAAGACCAGAGATGCAGGTCCATCTGCAACCAGCAGTGTATTTCAAAAGCAATGATATCTCTGGACAACTCAGTAGGCTCTGACACTGCCATCTAGTGACATTTCAAATGTGGCTCAAGTGCCAATGGCGGCTTCTTATCTGACATTTGAACAATCACTGCTAGGAAGTCTACTTGGAATCCCTGATGAGAATGGTCCACCCTTCCATTAACCTCAAACCTAGGAACCCTGCAGCATAGCATGCACTAATGGAATTCCATGGGCAATTCCAAGCCGAGGTCCCAGCCAGCTGGTCTGGGCCCCAGGGGTAGGCCTGTGTGGAAGGCACTTAAGGGTTGACAGGTGGCCAGCAGCACACATGTTTTACCCCGAGCTGCACACACCTGGAGTTCCTGAGCTTTTTCTGCCCTACCCTGTGCCCGGGCCCAGCCCTGGCAATCTGTCATCCCCATAGTCATACTGCTTGGCAGCCTGCATGTGGGCTCTCGCCAGTCCCTTCCCTCACAGCAGCCAAGTGATGTCTACTGAGTGCCACTGCCCTGCTTAGAGCGTCCAGATGGGTTCTTGCTGCTTCTGGATACTCAACACCCTTCCCATGGCTGCATGAGACCCTGAGGGACTGGGCTGGCCTCCGCTCTCCTAGACACATAGATGTTCCCACTCAGGACTTCAAACCCGCAAGAGCTTCTCCATCTTGACCTATTTATGCTGTGTCCATGTTCTTTTTATTGGGGGTTTCACCCACTCACACTGGCCTCAGCCCAGATGTCCCTGTCCTAGAGTAGATGCCACTGCCATCTGTGCTCCCACAACTTAAAGACTCACACCCAGGACCAAGGCAAGCCCTATTAAACCCACTGAGACCCCTGATCTTCCCTCCTCACTGACCACACTTAAATGCAAGGCATCTGCAGCCCACTGGTTCATGGCTGGACCCCTAAACCATAGATGCCTTGCAAGGGGATGGGACATCTAGCTCTTGGCCCTGCTGACCATCCCTGGTCCTTGAGAGACAGTCTTCCCTTGGCAGGATTTAGGCACTGCTGAGCAGGTAAATGCCCAGTAGGATCCTTGCTACAGGTTTGCTGTTGGGAAGAATCCCTTGCGATCCTGTGGCCCAAGACAAGAAATGAGCAGGGAGGCCTGGGAGTGGGGTATTCCCAATTGCAAGGGATGGCTCAGGTGACTCCTAGGAGGCTGCATGGGGCAAATGAAAAAAGGGAAGAGGGCAAAGGCTAGGGACTGGCCATGTATGTGAACAGTAGGGCCATATCAGAGGTAACTGTGTGACTTCTGAATGGTGTGGGAGTTACAGGAGGTCTTAGGCAGCAGGGGAGATGATCTGATTAGACTTTTATCAGAAAGATCAATTTGTGACAGTTTGGTAGATAAAAAGAAAGGGAAGAAAGAGTCTGAAGGAGTTAGTTATGGGATGAGAAATGAGGAAGTGATGGTAAAGAAGGGGAAGATGAGAAAAGGAGGGACTCTGAAGTTACCAGACAGAGAGGGACTGAACATCCAGTTCAGGGACTACAGAGGACATGGTCAGTGACACAGAGCTGATTTGAACTTGAGTCCCACCTCTCAGACTTTGACTAGCTGTGTGACCATAGGCAAATCACTCACTCTTTTCATGCTTTAGTTTGCTCATCTATAACCTGGCAGGCAATACCTACCTCCAGGGTTCTGCTAAGATTCAGCACCTGCCTGACCTGCAGGAAGCAGGCAGTGAAGCAAAGGTGGGGCTAAGACTATGTCTCTGGACACAAACCAACTGACTGACCCAATCCTCCAGCTGTACCCACTCTTTCACATGCTTCCAGCAGAGAGGAAGCAGGCAAGAACTCCCGTCAGGCCCCTGACAAAGCTCAGAATATGCCCTTACCTTCAGGGACTTAGAGAGGTGGGGAGAGCAGAGGCTGGGGCAGGATACTCAGAACACGGGAACAGACAGTCCTCAGGACGACAGGGCCTGAGCTAGCTGTTCTGGTAGGAAAGCCCCAGGGAGTAAAGAAAACCACTTCAACAAACACTAGGTTCTTTACAGTGGAAAGCTGCATGCTGCTTTGCTGAGAGTAAGTGATGCAAATTAGCAGTCTTGGGGGCCTTTTGCTCAGTGTAATACAGCCTGCTTTTCTGTACTCTTGATTCTGGAGAAGCGGTCCATCTTGCTGCCCCAGCAGGTAAGATATGGCCGGTGGCAGCAACCTAAGCACTTCCAGAGTCTCCTTTCACACACAGCTGTGCACTGTCAGGGTTCACCTCTGGGAAGGTGGTCCAGCCATGTGGGCTCAACCACACTTAGCTCCATGTGCTCTTGCTTTCTCTTCAAAGATAGAGTCCAGTCTCCTACTCTGCAAAGCCAGCCTGAGGCTTCATGATCTCCCTCTCCAGGGCTACTTTTCTGTCTGCATCCTCAAGTTAAATTAGTTATGACACAGTATTCTGAGCTGTTATTTTCATATTTTTGTCTCCTTTTTAGGTTGCAAAATTCTTTGAAACCATGCACCTGAATTAACTGATTTTGTTTTTCCTAAAGCATAGCACAAGGCCTGGCACATACTGGGTGTTCAATAAATGGTTGTCTGGAGGAATAAGCTACCAATTTTACAGGAATAAGTTAACACTTCAGAAACCCACCTACTCAAAAAGAAGACCCAGTTGTAGAGACGGCATGCAAGGTGTGGGGATCAACATCAAAATAAGTTGTGTTGTTTCACTGGTTTGGTTCAAGATGCCTATAGAGCTCAGCAGCTCCAGGGTTTCTTTCAGAATAAAATGTCACCTGGCAACTAGATCACTTTGGGCCATGCTTCACCCAAGCACTAGTGAGTCCATGATAAAGCCTGATGGTGGACAACAGACTGAACTAGAACACTGATTTCACTGTTTACACAAACCCACAAATCTTCTATTACTCAAAATTTCTGAACTGCCCTCCATTTCAGACAAAAGAAGTAATTCATAGGAAGGACATTTCTATTATAAGGGAAAGCTCTGACACAAAAGCCAACACCAATGAAAACTTCTGCTAAGCACGTTCTGATCCAAGTGGGTTCAGCACTCACTCTACCCTGATACCAGGCTGGACACCAGGGGCATGGAGTAAAAAATGACAGGCAAAGACAGGGAGGGAGGGTGGGGATAGAGAAGTTGACCCATATATCCCAAGGAACAAGAGTTCAGACGAGTGGCTCTATTCTATTTCTGCCTAACCAAGACTTTTCAATGTTGCTCTCAGAGACGTAAATAGGCAAAGGGTCACCTTGCTAGTTCTCAGGCTGGAAGAGCCAAACACTACTTCTAAAATACCATACAGATCAAAAATCGAATGATTTCCAAGTCACAATCTATTTAAGTCCTATTTTCCTCACAGCAGTGCCACTCTATCCACCCTGCCCACCAAAGCATACACATGAGCATATGCTTTAACTATTTTTGTTATAGCTTCTATCTAGATGTTCCCTAAAGTCTCACGTCACCACAGGTGGGGACTTTTGGAGCTGATGGACTAGGGTTTATGAATGGTGGATTATGGGTGTGATACTAGGATTAACCCTGGGTATGGCTGGCACCAATCACTAGGGTTGCAGCCTGGGTGCAATATAAAGGGACAGAAAGAAGGCACATGACTGGTGATGCTGTGGCTGCTTCTGTTGCTGCCTGCTGCCTTCTATCTGCCCTGACACAAGCTGTTTCTCCTTTGCGATGCCCCTCTGCTATCCCACCCTGCCTTGATGCCAGCCAACTATGGACTAAAACCTCTACAATAGGTGAGCTAAATAAACATTTCTTTGTATTAGGTATTTTGTTCCAGTAACAAAAAAAGTAAGACCATTTTCAACACAATTGCAGCAGTTGTGTATACACCTTGGGGTTAACTTGGACAGACGCATACTCCAGACCACTTATCTAAGAAGGGACTGAGACACCAGCTGGCCCACCTCCCACTCTAAGGCTCTTTTAATGCACTGAACTCACAAGAGTCAGAACCTAGGGACCATTATCAGTTTTCCCTAAGTTCCCAGTGAACAATTCAAGACATTTCCCCCCTTCATACTGTACCATGTTTTGCTTAGTATAATGATTATGATGAGCTGGGCATGGTGGCTCACACCTGTAATCCCAGCACTCGGTAGGCTGAGGTGGGAGGATCATTTCGAGTTTGAGACCAGCCTGGGCTACAAAGTGAGCTCAAGGCCAGTCTGAATTGCATAGCAAGACCCTGTCTCAAAAAAGACAAAAAAAAAAAAAAAAAAAAAAAAAAGATTATGTTGGATAAAAAGACAAGATTTAAAGGTAGAAGCCTTGGGTTCTGATACAGATTTTGGCCCTGCAGAATGGTAAACTAGCAGCCCCAGGCCAGGGAGAAATCTGCCGGAGGAAGGGCAGGTAGGGTGTGAGGAGCAGGCAAACCTCCTACCCAGCTCACTTATGCTCTGGGGCAAGGCTCAGTCTGACTACAGAACTCTGCACCTGCACAAACACCTCAGTAATGAAATGTTAGGACAAGGGCAAAGGACACACAGTAGGAACAGGTAGTAAGAGGTGAAGGGAAGGGAGGCTGCACAAGGGCACACATGACACATCAGTGACTGAGTGATGTGGGGACTGAGACTTGCCCCGAGGGAGGTAGCTGGATTCTCAAGAGGAGGGTCAGTACTACCCTACACCTGCATCAGCAGACAAAAATCCTCTCTTAAGTAAGTACCCTATCCAGGGCCTAAGAGGATTCCAAACTCAACAACACAGGTGTGATTTCGTGATAAAAAACTACCCATATCAAGAAAAAAGCATTCTTGAGTGATATCAATGGGAACAGTAAAAACAGACTTAG